TAAAAATGATCAAATACGGAACATATCTTGCTATTAACGGCGTGCGCAGGCCAGAGTGCTGAAGCTCGGCGCATTATTATTATGAAGCTAGGGCACATGCAGAGGACACACACACACACACACACACACACACACACACACACACACACACACACACACACACACACACACACACACACACACACACACACAAGCAAAATATACTTGTTTTCAATTGCATTTATTGTGTTTATTTTTCTTAAGCCCACCCACAAATGAGTTTCTGGCTATGCTAATGGTGACATTTGACAGACTTATCTGAGCTCCACAGCCATTACACTTTTCACCTCGTGCACCCCCTAGCGGCAGCTTGCGCACCCCCGGGGGTGCGCGCACCACACTTAGGGAATCCCTGCACTAGATGATTGGCTGGATGGATGACTTACAGAAGTTACGTTACCACATTCAAAAACATTTAGGCAATAAGAAACATGAATTTAATAACATAACTGCTAAACTCTTTCCAAAATCTATGTAAAAGAACAGATTCGAAAAAGATGTGCAATATATTTTGGCCGAGTGGTATGATGACGCAGAGCAGATCTAGAAACCACAGCACCAGAAAACTAGCATCAGCATTGTAGTCTCTCGATGGAATTACCTGAAGGACCATCGAAGTCTGAGGAGTCACGCCAAGGTTGCAAGCTTTCTGCTCCACGGTTAACAACATTTAACGTTACAACGATGTGGTGAAACTACCCTGAGCCACACTTGCAAATTATTATAGCTTGTGGACAAGAATTCAGGGTTAAGATTAAGGTTATGGTTTATTCATATTAAACACTCTACTTTGTTTTTAATGAAATGCTTATCTGACTGGGTTTCATACCAGAACCAATTCCCTTAAATATTTGGCCAGAAACTAAATTTTCAAAATGTAGGATAAAAAATATACAAATCTAATTTCTGAAGGAATATTAATTAGCAGCTTTTGTGCAATTACATGCTAAAGTTAAATGTATTTAGTTCATAAACCGACGTAAATATGGAGTTAATGACCTACAACATAGAGGTTTTGAGCTCAGATGAAAAAAACAAGGTGCTTCTGCTGCATAAAGTGTGTTTGTTCTGATCACAAGCTTATTGTTGTGTTGCTTAAAGACTGGAGGTGAGCGTAAACATCTGTGTTATGCAACTAAAGACAGGAAAGGCTCTGTCTCCGTCTGGAGACTCCTTCCCTGTGGGGAATCCTCTGGAGTCAGAGCAGGCTTGTGCTGTCTTGTGATTCCAGAGGTTTCTTTGGGATTATAAAACTGCAAAAAAAAGTGACACGATGATTTAAAATTCCAACTAGGGTTGGGCATCGAGCATCGATTGGAACCCGGTGTTTCCCTTACATAGACGTAGCCGTGGCGGCTCGCCACGGCTGAAATCCCAGCGCCACGCCTACAAGATCCCGTTTTACAGATTTTTTTTTTGCGCCGTTTGTTGAAGAAGCAGTGGGAACTACTCTGTTGTTGCTTATGATCACAGCCAGCAGGCAGCAAGAAGGAGGAGGCAGGGCAGGGTGGTTACAGCTAGGGATGAGCCGGATAAAGCATTTTTGACGAATACGAGCATGAAACGAGTAAAACTCGTAAATATCTGTAATCGTGCTGAAGAAAAATCCTCATTGGGTAACTCACTGCCTTCACGCTCTGTGATTGGCCAGTCACATGGAGCGCCCGCCCCTCCCTACACACAAAACTGCAGCTGGAAGCTCAGTCTGGCTCATGCATCAGTTTAATCAAATTAAAAAAACAAAAGTTGTGTCTGGTTCTAGTATTTCATATTTCCTAGTTCACAATGCATGATATTAATATATTAATGTTCTGATTTTATTGAAAAACTTGTTCTGTAATAGTTCCTTTACTATTATGATCAAAAATATTTAATCTCAATTCTGAGGCTGCTCTGTAAAGTTTTCAAAAAAAAAAAACAATACACATAGCAACTTCTGATCAGTCCATATCAATTTCAGATTTAAAATAATGTATTGATGTAAACCACACCCACTAATTTCCAAATAATAAATAAGAGGTGCATTCATCTGTGTATCTCCTTTGATCCGCATTAGTGATGTTTTCAGCACCAGAACAATGAAGCAAAGAAACAGATTCCTGAGTTTGTTAGTAATTTTATTTATTAGGTGCATCTGATCTGTTCTATTTTTCTCTGAAATCAGATCAAATCAGTGCTTCTATGGGTTGTCTCCTCTCTGCACTAGAAAAGTTTACTTTATTATAATGTTCACTGTAATGCATCTTGATGTTCTTAACAAATAAATTAAATCAAAGATATTGGACAATAATGCCAAATATGTAAATTTGTGTTTCAGTCATTTTTATACTGGCTTAAAAATCCTTCATTAAGTCTACTAAGCAGGGGTGTAGAAGGTGTTTAATAGGGCCAGCCCAGTAATGATCTTGGACCAAAATAAAGGGAGCAGAAAGTCAAATAAAGGGGGGCAGAAGGAGATGTTTTTCCAGACACCAAGAAAGATTAAATGCCAACCCCCCCTGCAAAGTGCGTCACTGAGAGTTTAAAACAAAAATTATTCTTGTGCAAATATTGGTGTGTTCACCTTTAATACTAGTTATTAAATGCAGCAGTTGCTGGATTAGGGCAGTTCAAAGTGGAGTGCATCAAATAAAACAATATTAACATAAAGGTGAGACGTGTCATAATTCTCAACAGAAATTGTTCAGAAAGGAAATTAAAATGTTTATAACTTTGTGTGTGATTTATTATTATTATTATTATTATTGTTATTTATTGTAGCAGAAGCTGGTGTGGTCCACCACAGAGAAAGCTGCTCTAGCATGATGACAGGTTATTGTTCAGTCTTCTGACGCTCACGTGTCTGACTGCTGACGCTCCGTGTGTGTTTTTATTTCTGCAGAGACAAATTCACCTCACACCATCCAGTTTGTTCTTTAAAGCTTCTATTAAAGCCACCGTGTTGACGTATTTAACAAGTTTCCTCTACGCTGCAGGAGTTAAAGTTTACATCACGGAGTAAAAGTTCGGCAGATGCGTTTGTTCATATTTGGCCGCTGTGCGCCGGGTGGGGGGAGGGGGGACGCTGTGCTGCAGACAGACAGCTGGTGTGATCAGCTCTGAAAAGCGTTGATCACAGTTTGCAGATCACGTTTATTTTTCATGGAGATCGGCCGCGGATTCCTCTTCCGTCTGCATACTAGGAATCGAAATAAAAAACGTTGAGCGATTCCGGGAAAAATGAACAGTTGGAACCGCTTCCAATCGATGCTCGATGCCCAACCCTACGCAGCTGCATTTAAGTTTCACTTCCTGTTCTGACTGAATGCAGCAGCAGCATGGAGGTGTAGTTCTCAGTCATCCTGGACATGATCATGAGAGTTTTAGCTGAAAACAGCTGGACGTTTCTGGATATGTTGGAGACATTTAGCCTCTCATCCCAGAGGCTTCTTCCAGACTTTGGTTGTGGTCAGAAACAAACACACTGGTTGTGCTGCAAGTCTTTCCTTTTTTCTCCAAAACATGTTTTTGTCTAAATGAAGGTGATGTTGTTGTTCGTAGAATTAAAATTCATGTTGAAGTTAAGATTATTTCATCAAGTAGGACCTGTGGTTAGCTGGCTCATGTAAAGCATGTCATGTCTGCAAAGAATCGGAATCGGGAATTGATAGGAACCGGAATTGAAACGAGGAATCTGAATCATTCAAAATCAAACGATGCCCAACCCTAATTCCAACACATTGGAGAGGTTTCTAGCAAGTTAATGCCTCAAGCAGGAGGAAAAGAAACAAGAGCCACTGAAGCTGCAACAAACCTAAATATCAAAACAGCAAAGTAATCACTCTAGCTGCTTTTAGCTATTTCTCCTGTAACCTTTTGTGTATTATGAGAGTAAATGGAAGAACAAATGTCTAATTCCTCTGTGATCAGAGCAGCATGTTTGTTTAGTGTTCAGTTTTTAATCTGGCAAAAAAAAAAGGAGACAAAGATTAAAATTAAATTGAAGGCAGAACAGAAGACAGAGAGACTAAGCACCGTTACATAATCCCAACATTCCTAGTAAACACAGAAAAAGCCCAGTGACAACATGATTATCCCAGCTGTTTGTCTGGATTCATATCAGTCATCATGTAAAGTCCAAAAAAATCATTAGAAGGTCCAGCTTTAACAACACGTCTGGATGGAGAACGTTTTCAGTCTTTTGTTGACAGATTTGGACTACGTCTCCATTTTTTTTTTTTTTTGCCAAGGAATAATTTTCATTTTACAGATAATCCAAACTAAACTTTGCTGTAAATGAAAATGGACTTTCTTCTTATTTTTATGCACCTATTTAAAAAAGATCTTAACCCTAAATGCATCATGGTGTCACTTCTCATAATGAGCAGTGTGATCATAATGACTCAGAATCACACACGTCCTCATGTGACTGTAACAACATGGTGGTAGATGATGTAAGGAAGTAATGATGTTAAAATGACACCCTTGAAATTCAACAAACAATAATTGTCCAAACACACAGAACTAAACCTCCTCATGAGCACCTAAACATTCTGCTATCAGCTTGACTCTGAGTAAAGAGCCTTTGTGCAGCAACAACAAGCTCTCGACTGTGGGAAGCACCACAATGGCCGGCTTAGATGGCAGACATGAATCATCCTCTCTGTTTGTGAGCTTTGTGCATTGGCTTTTAAGAGCGGTGCTATGTGTGGCAAGCAGAAACTTCACAACAACAAAAACAACAACACAGGGTACTGACACAGCCAACCACACTTCAGGTATATGAATGAATTCAACTTTATAAAAAGCTTTTTTATACGATTTTTTTTTGGGGGGGGGGGGGGGGGGGGGATCAGGAATTTTATGACAGGAAATCAAAAAACTTTCTTGCCTCCCTAATGTACGTCGATGTGGCTAAACCTTGGTTCATAGGAGCTGTAAAGTAAAAAAAAAAAAATACCACCTGACACATTTGCACTCACCTTCAATCCATCACTTGGCAAGCGGTAGCCAAATCGTGCAGGCATGTCGTCAAAGTTCTCAGTTCTGTTGTCAAATGAATACTGAAACACAGGAAGATACGATCAGCTGTGACGCTCGCTCGGATGCATTAACACTCACAACTGTTAACAGTCCAAATGCGAAACACACAACAGTACTTTCAGATTGTTTTGTAAACAAAGCAAGCCGGCTGTTACAGAAGCCCATCACTTCATGAGAGGAGGTTTGACCATCTGTAGGACTGGAATTGCAGAAGTGTATGCATGCATGTCTATTTATGCACCACTGTGACGGTTCACTCACAGCAGCGATATCGGCCTCCACAGGCAGCAGGTTGAGGAAGGCGAAAAGCTGAACGGTGAAGATGGTGTAAATCTGCGTGGCAGATAGCATCAACATTCCCAGAGACAGCAGCATCTTGGCATCACGTTACAAACCTCTGCTTCTGTAGTGCTCGCACACTCTCACACAAATATCCACTCAGACTGTCTCGTAGCAGGGATCCTATATGCCGGCTGATGCTGTTACACCTAGAAAATACAGATGATTTGTTTGCATAAGAACTTTTTGGTTTTGCATTATTGCTGCAAAGAAATTTAAATTAGATTTGAAAGCAAAAACTTATATTATGGAAACATTTTTTAAAAATTAGTGATGCACTGATATGAAATTTTTGGGCCGATACCGATATTAAGATCACCGTTATGGCCGATAACCGATATTTGCCGATACCGATATACTGACATTAATGCTTCTAAAATCAGCAGATTTAGTTTAGAATGAAGATTATTAAAGCTGAATTTACATTATTATGTACACACACCACACACATTTAAGCTTCTGAGATGATTACAATCACTGTCGCATGACTAAACAAATACACACCACCCCCCTCACCCTCTGAAACAGGCAGACAAATGGAGATGAGACAGAAAAAAATAACGGTTGTTAATATCGGCCCGGTTTTATTCATCGAACCGATACCGACGTGTTAAGAAATTACTAATATCGGCCGATACCGATATTGATGCCGATATATTGTCCATCCCTAAAAAAAATAGGTCAAACTTTCAAATACATATGTGTGTAATTTACAAACAGTTGCATATTTTTATTCTTACACTTAAAATTATTCATTTAACTTACTCATCATATTAATAATAACAATAACAATAATGCATTTTATTTATAAGCGCCTTTCAAGGAACACAAGGACACTTTACAACAATAAACAACAAAGAAACTAAGTTAAAAACAGCCCAAAAATCCATAGAAACCTTAAATTATAAACTAGATAATAAAATCAATGTGGTTTGAAAAGGTGTCACAAGCAGTAGGCAGTCTGAAATAGGTGGGGTTTTAGTCTAGCATATTAAATGTAAACATTTACTGAAGGATTTTATCAGGACACAATTTACTTTTAACTTTTTGACCTGTTACTATTTTCAGTGTATTTAAATATACTACTCAATGTATTACATTTGATATAATTTTTTAAGTCTTTTTCAGAACACAGAAACCCTATTTTAGTCTGATTGTCACGAGTAACGATGTGTTATAACTTATTTTATTTATTTATAAATAATTAACACCTTAGTGTTAATTTACTTTTAAAGAAGGACAAAATATGTTTCTGGACAGTCGGAAATACCACGGTATTTAACAGAGGTTAAGAGGTCACAACAAATGGGAACAAGTGATCAGATGATGTCTAAACATCAAGTGACAGTGGTCGCCTTTTCTGAGATAACTCTCTAAGATGATAACAACATGTCTATAGGACAAATAAAGAGAAGATGATAAGTTACAAAACCATGTAACAAGAAATAATAACATTAGTAAACTACCGTTGAACTCTCCCAAACGCGAAAATAAAAACTAAACATTTTACACACGAAGACTGGTTGCAATGATGCTGAGCATTTTCGTGATTTAGCCGTTAATGTTTAGATGAATATACGCAAATACCCTAAAATGTACAACCGAAACAGAACCCAGTCCGTTAGCATGAGACTAGCATTAGCAAACGAAGCTAAACTGTTTCTGGGTGTTTACCTTTAATTCTGCTCGGAGCCTTGTTGTTTGCGTGGAATAAGCAGCTGTCAGCGACATTGCCCTCGTTTACTGCGCGTCATATAAGACAAAACACACCACCTCAAACTACGTGTCTGTAGTTAATTTCATTTAAACAGTTGGTCACAAAATACGATCATAAACGCAACTGCTTAATCCCCACTGCTAGCTATTTTCTTTTCATGTGTGAGAAAATTAACTTCCGCCCCGTGTCACATCAATTTAAGAGCTCTGATTGGATGAGCTTCCTGTCAATCATTTTATTCCGGAAATGACTCCAAACATAAACAGATCCACGTGATATGGAAAAACCCATTTGCTTCAGTTTACAGTCGCAGTCCGAGCTTTAACTGCTCGTTAGCTGCCTACCGGAACATTTAATAGACAGTTATTTTTAAAAAGTTACATTAAAAGTCTATCTAACACGTGTTGTCATCGAGAGATGAGTGAAAGAAGAAAGACAAAATCATGACCAGTCAATTTTTAAGTCTTTCGCACCATCTATAGAAAACAGATTGCAATCTTCAATGACGTTTTGAATCTCTGTGTTTAGTTTCAGTCTACATAATTTTAGAAAAGGAACTTTTATGATAAATATAAATATACAATAAGATTTATACTGGAAAACTGATGCAAAATTAATTGTCAGTAAAAAATGTGTTATAGGGTGTCTTTCACAGATACGTACATCACAAATCAGGACAAAACATTGTAAACAAGGAGGATCACCGACCTCAAAATACTGTAAACAAGGAAAATGTACAAGAATAGAAAGTGGAAATTTGTAAACAAAATCAGAATCATTATAAACTAGGAAGATGTATCAACATAAAAAATAGTAAAGATGAAGGTATAAACAAAGTCAAAATTATCTGCACAAATAAATGAGGAAGGCACATAGAAGAGGTAGGTTCTTAAATGTTTTTTTGAACCTCCACACTTAAAAAGATAGTTTGAGAGGCAAGCGGTTCCACAGTCTGGTAACCAGAACGTGAAGCAGTGTTAGACTCCACCCTGTTTCTTCTGAAGTCTAAAATCATCTTTGTTTTGTTCACGTTCAAGGTCAGATGATTGTTTCCACACCATGCCACAAAGCGCTCCACCAGCTCTCTGTATTCAGCTTCCTGTCCATCTCTGATACATCCGACAACTGCAGAGTCATCTGAGTATTTCTGTAGATGACAGGTCTCTGATTTGTACTGGAAGGCTGAGGTGTACAGGGTGAAAAGGAATGGGGAGAGTACAGTCCCCTGTGGTGCTCCAATGTTACTGATCGCCTGGTTTGATGTGCAGTTCTTCAGCCTCACAAACTGTGGTCTGTTTGTCAGGTAGTCTTTAATCCAGGCGATAGTTGAGGTCCCCACCTGTATCTTCTGGAGTTTCTGGCAAAGTACATCAAGCTGGATTGTGTTAAATGCACTGGAGAAATCAAAGAACATGACCCTCACAATGCTGCCCGCTATTATCACTGTCATTAAATTGAAGTTGGACAGATGACTTGAATATCACTTGAACATTCAAAGTTAAAGACTTGGACTTGACTTTGACTTCCACATCATTGACTTTAAACTCAACTTGGACTTGGTTGTATTTTCACTTGGACTTGACTCGAGACTTGACTGGAAAGACTTGTGACTTACTTGTGACTTGCAAAGCAGTGACTTGGTCACACCTCTGTGAAGCAGTATGTGTGGTTAAAAGCTGGGATAGGTAGACAGGTGCCTGGCTGCTTAGAGGTGAGCACAAGGACAGATTCTATATTCTGTAGGGAGTCAGTGTCAAATAGAACCAGGGAATGTGAGCATGTCTGCTGGATTTTGTTAGGAGTCAGGCTGCTGCGTTTTCAATGGCTTGAAGGTGTGAGAGGATTTTTTTTCTTCAGACAAGAGCGTTACAATAGTCCAGACACATAATGAGACAAAGGCGTGGATTATTTTTTCCAGGTCTGCAGTTGAAAATGTTTTCAGGAGCTTTGAGATGTTTAAGAGAAGGAAACACGAACAAGAGATGGATTTGATGTGTGAATTGAAGCTTAAAAAGGAATCAAAGATAAGTCCTCGATTTCTATCACTGGGCTTGGCTGATGAATAAAAGGAAGCAAATGCATGATTTATTTTAGGATGTCGTGTTAGCATTCAGAACATGAAAAGAGACGGACAGTCAGTTGCTGATCTGGGTCAGACAGAGATCAAGGACTAAATAGCTAAAGGGAGAAAATAGAAAGAAAACAATAGAAGTCACAGAACTGAGCCTTGTGGGATGAAACAGTGGCAATTGTTTTAAAATCTATGAATCTATAAAATCTTTTATTTACAAAATAAGGATGAGAAGCAACTCCACTAGTATTAAAATAGAAAAGAGAATGATGATTAGTTTAGCATTTATAGGATGGTACAAATGCACAAGGCATGACAAGCAGCAATGCTTTGAAAGTAAACAATCAACCAGTATCTGCATTAATTTAATGTAAATGTATAAATATGGATTTTTATCCAATCATAAATTTCAGTTTTTAAAATATCTTCCATCATCAAACATACAGAAGTTGAGATGATAGTTGACTAACAGCAGAAATATACAAGCTGCGTTGGCACGTGTTAATTCTCTTTCCCACCATATCTTAACAAGAGTCTTCATATTCTTTGTTAGGTATGCTTTTATCTGCTCATTTGATACAAGAAAAAAACAATAAATCAGAGTTAACATGTTTAAAAATGAAGACAGTCTTGTTTTTGGGCTTTTAACTAAACAAATTATAAAGGCTGACTAACTTTCCACATTTGAAGTCACGTTGGCTGTCTTCTTTTCAGGTGTCTTTGACACTGAACTTGTTTTTATAAGAGTCACAAATGGTGAAAACTTATTGCTGCACGTCAGGTGAGCAGCTGACCCAAGACCATAAAGCAAATAAATCAGTTTTGTGTTTCATCACATGCTACAGTGCCCTTTCATGTCCTTTCTTCTACACAGTTTCACAATGCATAGAAACACAAATGTTTGTTTTCGTTTACTCAGAAAATCTTTCTGAATTACTTTACGATTAGATTTCTTTACTTTTTTTTTACCCTTTGTCTGAAACTTCTAAACCCTTTTCAGCTAACATTCATATTTGTGTCCTTTCCTGTTTCAAACAAAAAAAATCTCCAATTATAAAAACAGTTGAATCCTCCACATTATCAAACTAATATGATGACTAATAAAGGGTCTTTATTTGCAAGTCAGTTTACAGAATATGTTTTAAAGCAGCTGTTGAAAATGTGGAAAACAAATTAACCTTAAATATTTTTTCATGACTCTGAACAACGTTCTAGCATAGCATAGCTATACATATATTGTGGAGATACAAAAGAAACATAAATAATGTAAAAAAGCAGTTTTCTCACCTTCATAAAAACCTTAACCAATAGCACATTTCAGACCTAAAGCAACTACTGGACCATCCGGTTGCAGCACATACCTGGGTCCTCCACTCATAATGCTTTTTCACATTTAGCAACAGAACACCACTGGTGTGAGAGGTTCTCCGCTCAGTGATATCAGAGAAGGAGAAACAGACGGCTGCTACCACTTCAACTTTAGGACAAACTATCAGAGTCCCAAAAATAAAGACATCATTTGAAGTCATGGACAAGAAAAGAAGGTTAGGACCTAGAAAATGGTAATTGGTGTAAAGTGCTCTCTCGTATCCTCTAGCAACACAAGTTTCTGGTTCCGGTGGACGCAGAAGTGCAAGAGGGGAGAGATGAGTTTTCTGTGACTGTTTAAATTCAAAACATAGATTGTTTGCAGATTCACTTTAGCAGCTTTTTCTTTTGTGTTTGTATACAGTTTTATTGTCAGCACTTGACAGGTGGCACAGTCTGCAGGTTTTTGCGGGCCTTGTCTGCCTTCAGCTTATGAATGTGCTTCGTAAGGATGCACTTGTTCTTGAAGACGTTTCTTTTGGTACTTCAGGTAGAGGCTGTGGTACATGGTAGCGACACAGCAGATGACGCATGATCCTCAAGCGGGGCATCCAGCACAGCTTCTCTGACATATGGGCATTAGTGGTACCCTTCCTTTTACCTGTGCCTTCTCTTGCTGCATGCTGACGAGAGTTGGCATTAACGATCTTGATGGTCTTGTTGAGGTCCAGCCAGAACTTTACCTTGCTGCAGCACAGGACGCTGAGTGCAGCCTCTGGAGCCTGAGCATGCTCATGGCTGCTACTTCAACAGGAAAAGCCACTAAAGCAGCTTTAATGTGTCTTCAGATCTGTCTGTTGAGAAAGAGGAAGTTGCTGTAATAAAGACATTTCTGTCCCTCATGTCTACCTTCAAGTAAACTATTTTTACATCATTTACTACCATTATGATAATTTCAAATTGATCTTTTTTATAACACTTTTACTTCTCAGACAAACATGGATATTTCAGATGGATTTATTTACATTTCATATCACTCTGTCTCTCTAACACTGTAGAGGTCTTTAAAAATCATCTAAAAACTCACGTTTTCATCCAGGCGTTCCCTCCCTAAATGTTCAAAAAGATGGCTTTGTTCGGGTTCACACCTTCACTTTGTTTATACTCATGATTTTATTTTCTATTTTATCACTGCTATTGTTTTTCTGATGTTTTTATTGGTTAGAGGTATTTGCCCTGATCTTTATCATGTTGTACAGCGCTTTGTGATTTAAACCTGTGAAAGGCGCTATATAAATGAACTTTTACTTCCTTACTTACTTACTTACACTTTTCCATTAAAATACTACAGGTTACTACATAGTACTATAGCTTTATCTTATATATAAGATAAATATATCTTAAATACATATAAATGCTTTTTTTTAATGCATGTCCTCTTCAGTGGGTGTTATTATCCAATGTGCCACTAGAGGGCGGCAGCGGACAGAGAGAAATCACGAAAAATAAATCTCGCGATGGTTTGAGGTAACCGCCAGTAGCCGTGTTGCCTGGCTGGTACAGTTGTGAACAACCGGTTGGAGAGCAGACATGCTACCACAGTCCATTCCTGCAGGGTCGTCTTATCTGGCGTTCTCTTGAGTTTGTGGAAAATTACTTCGCTATGAAGGACTCTGTGTTTGGATCAGAACCGGTCTCTTGATCATATTAATCACCTAAATAAATCACGGAACCATAAAGTCGGTTGAGGAGCGGCAGTTTGAATCCAGTCGGGGTCTGCTTCAACGTCTGCGGGAATGGCAGCCCCTCGACCGATAAAAGGGATCTTGAAGAACAAGAACAGCGCCCGAAACGTGACATCGCAGCCCGAAGAATTGCCAGAGGAGAACGTAGAACACTCCCCGCCGGTTCTCTCTGAAGATGATCATCAGTAAGTTTCCTGCTGAGGGTGTTACCCTGCCAGCGATAGCTGAGCATTAGTTAGCATGTCTCAGTTTCGTTAGCCAGCTGTCTGAATCAGAACTTTGTGGGTCTTTTTCTTTCGAGTTTATATGTTAAATGCCCCTAGTCACAACCTTCATTTTAATTATGTCCGTTTTCTCGCGTTTGCCTCCGTTAACCGCCTGCCAAGCTAGTTTACTGTTTAGCTAACGTTAATAGTCACGTTAGAGATGGAATTGTACAACAAACGAATAAATAAAGCTGACTAAACACACGTCACTTTGACATTTCCTTTCAACCCAGCACCGTGGGAGTCAAACAAGGTTGTTGCAAGATTAAATTGACAATCTTATTTCTTTATTTGATAACCTTCCAGGTTTTTAAACTTTCACTCAATTCTTTAACAGTCACTAGAAACGGTATCCAGTATAATCAGCTTGAATTTATTCTAGAATGATCAACCTATAGCTGTTTTAGAATTGATTTACAAAGCATCTGTGTTGTTTGCATCATTTGTGAGTGCCACAAAATGCACGCTGAGCTGAATTATCCTTCATTCTCTTTATTGCACTAAAATATTCCTCCTTGCAGCAGCTTCTGTGGGAAATAGGTGCAAACACAACAAATGCTGCTTTAACATCACATCCTTCCTGGACACTTTCCGCGGCCCTGTCTTGGATCTTGATCCTAGTGGACTGCTTACATTTTATCGGCTTTGCTTCCATCCTGATGTTGGCCAGGATAAGTCTCGCAATAATTCCCACTGTAGTAGAAGTTTGAGTCAGTGATTACGTTTCATTAATCAATTTCCCTCTGGGATTAATAAAGTATTTTTGAATTGAATTGAATCACAGAGCAATGCAGGGCAATTACGTTGCCTCAACAGTTTTATAGTGTTAGTAAAACTTTAAAGATTGTGAAATTTGGCCCTGGAAGTGCTGAATCAGCTGTGTAACCACCCAGTGGGTACTTTGCCTCAGGGTTGAAGTGACAAGAGTATAAGGTTGGTGTCTTTTCTATCACAAGCAGTGACGCGTCGATGTTGCAGTGAAGTGCAATGCCCCAAATCGCTGCACCTCTTAGCTCATTACATACACACACAGAGAAAAAACATGGATTTATTTGGGTATTGCATTGGAATTCGCTGTTATTATCCCCATCATAGCCAGATATTGACAAGGTGACATTAAAAGGTGGAACAATCTGAATTGGTGTGTGGATTTGACACTTAAAAAATGTATTAATATCAGATATTTTTGGTTCTGTCACTGGAGAGCTGAAATCAAATCTGGGTGAATAACACCTGAAGCAGCAATAGTTGTGGGGAAACACAGAAACATTTGTCTCAAGGTTAATGCCTCTGCTTCAAAAACCCTTTCAAACTTCATACCTTCAGCAAGTTTGGAACTGAGATGGACAATATTTAAATTGAAATCATGAATGAAATAACTTTCATTTCTTTTATACAAACTGACAACTTTCAAAGCCTTTAAGCCAATATACAAGCTGTTTACTCTCTGTTGTGCAGCGACAATTTAACACCACCCACTTGTCAAATGCTGCAAATCCTCTGCTGCTAGCAGAAAATTCTGCCCTTTTGGTCCTTTCTGTGATGAAAAGTGGCCAGATTTAAATCCCTTGAAAGATGCTCATCACAAATCAGGAAATAATTGTACAAATGCTCTATTGATCATCGACATAGAAATGACTGCACAAATGAGTAGCTGTTGCTGAAAAGACTCATGAAAAGAGTGTACTGCCAGTTTGAGTGTTGGCGGGTCAATCCTCACACTTCCCACATGTCAAAGTGTCCTCATGCAACCACAAATTGACCCCAATCAGTAGATCTGACAGAACAAAATCCCTGAGTTTCTTGTCTCATCTTTTTGTTGACTTTGTTGACTTGCTTTCAACATTATTTACTGAGAGCAGCTGGTTGTGAATGGGTTAATTTAGGTTATTGTGTAAATTCATTTTGAGTGGTCAACACGACTAGAATAGTGTTTTATAAATTCAGTCCATTAACATATGACATGGGTCTTTTTTTAACTAATTAAATTCCGATTGTATCTCACTTGTAAACAGATCAGATCTTGTTATTTGCTGTGTTCCCATTTTGTAACATTCCAGCCAGTTGAGTCATTAGAAACAGGTCCTCTGAGCTGCTGCTTAAGAATTAGGCCATGGAAGGATAGCAGTTATTAGTGAATTCCTATCCCTACAGTGAATGAAGCTTTTTCAATGTAGTCACAAAAATACTCTCTTTGAGTGACAAGGAAGTGGAGGAAAAGTGGATTTCCTTAAATGCAGAATAAAGCCTGACCAGGATCTACAATGATGCTATGGCCACTCAGCGGTGCGTTTGAAGCACCAATAGCCATCAGACTGTGTGATTGCAGAGCATAAAGGCTTTATATGTCTGCTTTAAAGGTGTGGAACACTGAAAAATCTTTTTTTTTATTATTATTATTTCCAGTTATAATTGGTCACTTTTGAATTTTCCATGCAGCCCGAACATGACAATAGTCTCCTACACCTATCTACTGCATTAGCTTCTGATAGAAAATAGATGACGAAGCTCTAGGATTTAAAAGGCCTGACAGATCTATGTCACACCATTTAAGACCTGGCTTTGAATAAGAAATTACATGTAAACAAAATTTCCTGATTGATGTAACCTGAATGTGGTCAAGTTCAGGGAAAGCAATGATCACATTAAGCTGTGTGGGTTATTCAGGCCTCTGTTCCATCATGTAGACGTCTAATAATAACATTAATAGTCCCAACTGGAGTTGGATACATCTATACACTAAATTTGTGATAATGTTTCAGCTCCTTTTATGTGGTTAACAGTCCAGTGTAGACCTCACGCATTGTCATGCATATTTTATGGATGCTTCCATGAAACACAATCTCCCCCCTCTGTCATTGAAGCCCCATCTTGGTGGACACTAACTGTCATGAATCTGGATCATTACAATCTGAACAAAAACGTAAACATGATTTATACACTTTAAGATCATTTATACAATTTTATCTCTTCAACAGTTCATATGGATACAAAAATGATTCTGGTTTGCTTTCCACCTTGTTCTTTTTTGTGCAGGTGTGAAAACAGTAATCGCACTAGAACACAGACAAAATAACTGTACGAACACCTGTTAGAGGTGGTGTGGTCTTGCTACGGCTCTAAATAAACTGGAGAGTGGTTTGTTCATAGTGTGAATTTGAAACAAATGTCCTCCTGTAGCGTTGCATTCTAGGATGCGGAAAGGCACAAACATCAGTTGGTACTGAGTAGTTTCTAGTGAGTGAAAAGTGAACCAATTGCTTTTGTGGACGATCAAGTATCTTACTAATGCTTTAAAAGATGACTAGTAGGGCTGGGCAATATGGCCTCAAATCTATATTGCGATATAATCTGAAAAATGTGCAAAAATGATATTTATTGCGGTATATTTTTTCCCTCTGTTTATATATGTCAAAATGACATGCTTTTAAAATCCTTATATGGCAAATATATTGCGGCAGAATAAAGACGTCCAAAAAGTATAGAATGCTCCTCCTCCTCTGCCCTCTCCATCCTTGCAGTCACTGCCATTCTGTTGTTCAGATGTAGGCGCGGGTAAACATCTTAGTGACGTCATGTGTTACCACGATATCGCGATAGAGCCAAAAACTCTATCATTACCCAATTTTATATTGTTTCTACCTTATATCGTTTATATTGCCCACCCCTAATGACTAGAATTATGAGCTCTGAATGAAATGAAATCATAAAAACACAAAAGAGTTTAAACAGTTCATGAACATATCAGGGAGAAAAGGTTAGACCACGTTGTTATAGGTTCACTATGTGACAATAACGTAATAATGACATCTTGTGGTCAAATTTGGTTACTGCAGTGCATTTTAAAAACACACCATTCACATTCTTACTCATGTTCCCCAAGTTTGATGGCTGTTGCCAGCTATGACTCGACATCTGAAGATTCTAGATGACGAACAAAACATGAGTCATACATACTGTAATAAAAATATTTCACTGTAATATCGAGTTTTTGGTAATTGGAAAAATGTAGTTTGGGATTTGCTTCTAATCTTATATTTAGTGTTAGCTCAACATTAGCCTCTACCCGTGTTTAACCGATATTAAAAGTAAAACAAAAAGATCCTATGCCATCTTAGGGGTACAAGAAATAACTTCTTGATCGCCCTGATTTGCTGGTTTAGGATCTTTACTGCTGCATTTATCTGGCAATTGTATAACTACCAATGATTGCAGAGCATCATTAGCTAGCGCAGACTTGTCAACATTGCAGGCTCACAGATTGTAAACAAAGGCTATCTACACTCAACAAAAATTTAAACGCAACACCTTTGTTTCTGCTCCGATTTTTCATGAGATGGACTTAAAGATCTAAAATTCATTCCAGATACACAATATTACCATTTCTCTCAAACATTGCTCACAAGTCAGTCTAAATGTGTGAGAGTGAGCACTTCTGCTTTGCTGAGATAATCCATCCCACCTCACAGGTGTGCCACATCAAGATGCTGATCCGACATCATGAGTAGTGCACAGGTGTACCTTATACTGCCCACAATAAAAGGCCACCCTGGAATGTTAGTTTTGTCTCACAGCAAAATGCCATAGATGCCACAAGCATTGAGGGAGCATGCAATTGGCATGCTGACAGCAGGAATGTCAACCAGATCTGTTGCTCGTGCATTGAATGTTCATTTCTCCACCATAAGCCGTCTCCAAAGGCGTTTCAGAGAATTTGGCAGTACATCCAACCGGCCTCACAACCGCAGACGACGTGTAACCACTCCAGAGAGAGAGGATGGATGGATGGATGGATGGATGGATGGATTGATTTGTAAATATATTTTTGGCCAGTATTTGTTAAAATACATAGATTTTTTTTTATTATTGTTTTCCTGTTTATTCATCCTTTGCTCTTGCCTTTTCTCTTTACTAAACATGCAGGATGGGTAAGAAGGATTAAAGAGATAGTGGTCGTTCTAATCCATGTTGGCCATCTTTCAAGTTTTGTGTAATTATTTACTCTGCTTTCTGAGGGCAACCCAGAGGGAACAGAGATTTGCTGAAATTCTTAATTTGGAACTGTATAATCTAAATGCAGCGCTTTTATGAGTAGTACCCCTAAAGATATCCTGTTTAGAAAATCTGCTTCTCAGAACTTGTCTGTTTTGTTTAAATATTTAACCAGAGATTGTTCATATTTGATGAAATCTGTGTGAGGGGATAAGTGGTGCTGTGAAACAGGAGGCATGCTTACTTTGTGCTTTTTAATAAGCAACATTCTCCACAGCGAGACAAAGTCTTCTGCAGCCGTTCCTGCTGCTGGGTTCAGGTCACCGAGCCGGACATCTCCTCGCTGCCCTCTGACTATGCTACCTGATAGCATGGCACGGCTCAGTTCTCGGAGATGACTCACTCTATTTAATGAGTTTTCCTGAAGCGTTATGTCGCCAGCTGTTGACCACCCTGGAGAGGTAGTGATCATCATCAGCTGCTCTATTTTTAGGGTGCACTAGTGGCTGGTGTGTGCTGCACTAGTTTTGTGTTGTGGAAGCAGTTGCTTCATCTCCGTGCTACAGTTCATCCAAGTGGGGGTGAGAGTAGTTGCGGGGGAGCACGCTTTTGGTGTTGTGTAACTAAAGAAAACTACAATGTTTTAAACATTTTATAATATTACTACAAAACTAGGACAACTGTCTAAAAATATTACCTTGTGAGAATTCCATAAGATGGCAATCAAAAGAATCCAGTTCTCTCCTTGTAAGTTTTACACGCTCTTCCTCTCCAGCACACCTGATTCAGGTGGTTAAATGACCTCATCAGCCTGCTACTCACCCATTTGTTTCAAATGCAGGGAAACCTGCAACATGGTGGTCCTCGACGACCAGAATTTACTGAATTTTCCACACAATCTAACAAGTGAGCTATTTTATAAAAGGAGCTGCTGTTCATTTAGTTGACTTTTTGCATTTTATTGCTGTGCAGTGTTGGATTACTTGCATGCATATTTACAGGTCAATTTTTAAAATCACTTTGTCACTATTGTTTTTTTTTAAATGCTTATAGACATATTTTCTGTCAATTGATAAACAAATCACCCTCGTTACTACTTATACTTGTCCTTATTGCATTTTAATTCCAGCCTCCCTGTTTAGCGTCTAATATTTATATGATTTAACTATTTTTGTACTTATTTACCATATAATCAATGTTCTTTTGTTCCATTTACTCTAAATGACTCACATCTCCTAGAGAGGCAGATCTTTGCAGGTGGGCAACAAGTCATCTTTTGCCATCTCCCACTGCCTTCGTGCCTCCTGTGACACCTGACCTTTTTCATTAATAGAGCTGATGGTGATGCTTCAGAGGACAGAGATGTTTAATTGAGACATTTGATCCATTTCCTCCTCACAGCTGATCAACACCCACTTCTTCCTATCTGTGTCTCCACACAAAAATAGTTTCATGTCAGGGGTCGTCTTCTTAAAGATGACATTTCTGTTTTTATTTTATTTTTGTCTCAAACACTTCAAACATGAAAGCAGTTGGAGTGAAAACTGGGCCACCTTCTGCACCACACTCAGGGTGTCCGCGGGGTTTTAAAAAGTATTAAAAAGTGATAAATAAAAATAGACAAATTTAAGGCCATTAAAAGTGTTAAATTTGGTCTCAGAGGTATTATTTTTTCCAAATTAGGTATTATTTTTTTCAGACTATCAGATGTCGTATTCTGAACATCGACATAGAAATATATTCCGAATGAAATGTTTTGAACGATTATAAAAACAAAACAAGCCGATTATTTGCTCCTCCCACTTGCGCTGCCTTGAGTTGCAAATGAAGCGCTCCTCCCAGTGTTGCCAAGTTAACTTAGCGACTTTGACGCTATTTCTAACAGCTTTTCAGACCCCCTTCTTGACTTTTTAAATCTTAAAAGTACCTAGCGAACACCTCAGAAACATCTCTGGTAACCCTTAGCTACTTTCAGGATAACTGTCGTCGACATTTCCTGCAGGTTAGCTAAACACTCCGCCTGCACTCCGGACCGTTCTTCAGGACATTAGGAAAGGGAATGATGTAGTGATGTGTCAGTCGCTAAAGAAACGGCTCTCGGAGCCGGCTCCCTGTTGGAGTAACCAGAGTGACACACACACCGTACCTGCGGACTCCTGAGCCGATAAAAACGGCTAAATGTGCGCGTGCGGCGCGCTAAACACACGTGCAGCTTGCCCCTGATTGCTGTGAGACCGGGTTGGGGGTGGGGGTGCAGCTGTGGTTGGGACAATTATTACATTAACTGATGGACTTGTAAATAAATAGTTTATAAATAAGGTAGAAATAAGTTTCTCACGCTGATAAATAATAACTAATCTCTCTGAGGACATGGCGCTAGTGCACTCTACTACAGCACCTTGACATGACTCAATAAATGCTATGCAACATTTAGTGAACAGCAATTTGCATGTGTTTGTTATAAATGCCACTGTATAATTCTTGCTGTCAGTATTTGCAAGATATTGGTATTTGGGTCTGTACTGGTTAGAGTTAAATGAGTTAAACCAAGGTCTATAGCCCTTGGGTCATAAACTATGAGCTATAAGTATATTGGTCTTTTTATACTGGGAATCAGGAGTTATTTTAGTGATCATCTTGTTTCTTGTTTATTTTTGCCCTGATTGTGCCCTGAGCAGTTTTATGACTGAATAAAAATAAAAAATAAAAATCTACATAAATTGAAAAATCGTCTTAAATAATCGAGATCTCAATTTCAGTCACAATAATCGTGATTATTGTTTTTGCCATAATCGAGCAGCCCTACTTTAGCATATCCGGTCACATAATGATGACGTCATATTCAGTGGTCGTTGTGCATCATTTCAGGCCCCGTGGTCAACTGTCTGAACCGCTGAAAAGAAGTGCCTGGCTTATTGTAAAATAAATATGTGCAATACGTTGTCAACATCAGTGAGTCTCTAAGTCTATTCTTTTTGTATGTTATATATGTTAAAATATGTGTAAACAGGTCGCTGATTAACACATGCAATTTAGTGTGATGGTTTTAAAAAAATTCTGAAGGTAGTAAAAAAAGGTATTAAAAAGTAGTAAATTTTACTTAAGGATTGCTGTATATACCCTGACACTAAATCCAGTATCTCCTCTTGCCTGAGGTGGATTAATAACTGGTGTGCAGTGGTCCGCGCTGAGTGCAACTCTCCCTGTCTTAACCACCATTCTTTTAAAAATCTCCTTGCAGAAAGAAATCTGCGAAATGGGATGAGATGAACATCCTGGCTACATACCATCCAGCTGACAAAGACTACGGCCTGATGAAGATCGATGAACCCAGCACTCCTTATAACAGGTGACACTCTACGAGTGGAATATTCATAATCCCACACATTGTTGTAAGTCGTGGCTTGTAACAGAAGACAATACGATATGTATTACAATACTGGGAGGTGGCGTCCGCATGAAGAGGTGAATGAGAATGAAGGACAAATTTGGCCGTGTTATAAAGTCTCTGAAATATATTTAAATATATAAACATATTAGTACACTATTGTGGATCGGATACGTGGGTGTTATGGTGGCAAGATACCACAGAAAAGTGCTACGCCCTCTGTTGTCCTGGCGGGGAATTGCATTGCAACACTCCGCTACCTGAACAGAAGTTTGAATGTGAAAGTCTTTCCGACACTTCGTGTGCGTCTCTCTGTAGCGGAGCTCATGGAGAAGTATAAATCAGGCTTAAGACACATCCAGTGCTATCACAAGATGCCATTATTCCATCAGAAAACTGAATGGTGGCGCAGTGATTAGCACTGTTGCCTCACAGCACGAAGGTCGCAGGTTCGAAACTCGGCTGCGGCCTTTCTGCGTGGAGTTGCCTGTTCTCCCCATGCATGCGTGGGTCTCCTCCGGATACTCTGGTTTCCCCCACAGATCACAACATGCCCTATAGGCAGAGGTGGAAAGTAACGAATTACATTTTCTCACGTTACTGTAATTGAGTAGTTTTTTTGTATATTTATAATTTTTTATGTTGTTTTTAAAATTTGTACTTTTACTTGAGTATGTTTTTTAAAAAATTGTAATTCGCTACATTTTAAATCATATCCGTTACTGAGTAAAAATAAATTGTAGGCTTAATACACTAAAAATATTGCGAGTTGCAGCGTCGGAACAGAAAGAGACACCTGCATGAGTGCCGCGTCTAAACCGGGGGGGGGGTATACTTGATAACGAGGACAAACAGCCATTTTTACCGCAGTTTTGCTCAAAAACATCAGTTCAGTCCCTGTGATCCACTCGCTGTTTACCTCAGCGCTCTCCTCTCATTGGAACTTGCATCTTCGCGCACTGGTGTGACGTCATCAGAATTCTGCTCGGTTCGGTAGCCGGACCCCGTGTTTGAAATGTGTTTCCCTACCGCTCCGCACGGAAGCGGCAAAATAACGTTTAGCGCTCATCAAGCAGATTCTCTTAAAACAGAAGACCTGGAGGCCTCTGCGAGTTAAAACATCCTGATGCTGTTCAGTGTAAACATTGTGCTCCATCCCTGTGTTTGAACTCAGAAGATGCTCCTTGATGCCACAGATATGTGATGATCTAGCTTGTTTCTTTTTTTTACTCCAGAATAAGAGATTAAATTATTACAAAAGCAGTTTAATGTAGTTCAGTTAGTCATTCAAAAGATTCCAACATGCTGCTGTGTGTGTGTGTGTGTGTGTGTGTGTGTGTGTGTGTGTGTGTGTGTGTGTGTGTGTGTGTGTGTGTGTGTGTGTGTGTGTGTGTGTGTGTGTGTGTGTGTGTGTGTGTGTGTTACACATATAGGACTGCATGAGACAGTGTGGTTTAATCAAATCCATGCATCCTATATCTTGGCTGAAGTAATGGTGAACAAAAATAACTTATATTTCATAAATGACATCTCAATAGTGTCTATGATAATGTTTTATCTTATATTGGACCTATCTTTGGTCTGGGAGGTGTAACTTATGATGCAAGCCTTTTAAAACATGTTAAAGTGCTACAAGAGGAGATAAAAGCATGAATTTAAAGTTCTTGTTTGGAGACCAACCTTCACAGTTTGGAGGCTCACGCTGGTGAGGAGACGCCATTAGTTCTAGTAACACCTGGGTTTCCCAAGGCCTGTTCTGACAGGATGGACGTTACGGGACCCTTAAGGATTCTAGTTGGATGATTGGAGGATTATTTAGGAGGATTGGAATGAACACACTGATTTCAGTGGTGAAGGGTTAAATGAGTGAGTGAACCCACTACCAAGGATGAACTCTGCTAACTATAAAAATCAGCTGCTCTAAATAAGCATGAAGGTCAGAGAGGAGCTCTAGGATGGACACGAATAAAGGAACTGTAATGTAGAGGTAAAGTAGGGCAGGGCCAACGTTAACAGCTGTCATACGGTCCATTTGAAATGTTTGACTTTCATTTAGCTTGTTATGTGACAGGTTAGAGCACAGTCTTGTGTTAGTTTTTTCATGAAAACATTTGAGATACCTCACACACTGATGGCACCTAAAAATATATTATTTTTTTCTCAAAATAAAGAATAATTTTAATCAGAATTGAAACCTACCATCCTAGAAAAACCTTGTCCAATCAATGTGCACGTCCTGTTCTCACTGATTGGATTTGATCCATCAAATTGTGTGTGTGTGTGTGCGCGTGCGCACGAGCGAATTGTGAACTGGCGTTGTGATTTTGCCCTACTTCGATGTAGCCATCCTTACGCTGACAAAAATGTAACTAAGTAACTTTTACTTTGAGTACATTTTATTTACGATACTTTTTACTTTTACTTGAGTAAAAATTTAGGCAATTACTTTTACTTGTACTTGAGTAAAAAATTATCAAAGTATTGGTACTCGTACTTAAGTAGGAAATTTTCGCACTCTTTCCACCTCTGCCTAAATTGTAAGTCGCTTTGGATAAAAGCGTCTGCTAAATGAATAAACATAAACATAAAACAGGCAGGAAAATCTGCTGCCACCTAGCAGTCGGAGTTTGAATTGCAACACACGACAGAAATACAGTAAATGTTTAATTGTACATTTTCTGCAAAACATTGACAGACTTAAAAAAAAATGGATTCAGTATCAACACAAAATATCGCAAGTAGTGTTGCAGTATGTACTGGATATATCAGAGTGAGGAAAAGTGACCAGCGGCTCAGCATCCCAAAATGAGTTCATCACTGTCTGTTTTATTTATTTATTTATTTATTTATTTTTTCTTCTTCCCCTTTCCAGGATGGTTGGGGATGATGATGATGAGGGGACACACAGTGACTCAGACGGCCGGAGTGGACTTGAAGCTGATGACCTGGCCTCAAAGTAAGAATAAAAACACCACACACATGTAAAACACACCGGCATAAGTTTGAGGAGAGCAGGCAATGTAAGCAAATATTTCCTCCTGTTTCGACAATGGAAAAAAAAAATGTTAATTGGTGAAATAGATCACACACACACACACACACACACACACACACACACACACACACACACACACTTCTCAAGATAAAGGGAGCACAACAAAAAAAATCCTGGATCTGAATGAATGAAATATTCTCATTAAATACTTTGTTTTTCTACATGGTTGAATGTTCTGACAACAAAATCACACAAAAATGATCAATAGACATCAAACACATCAACCCACGGAGGTCTAGATTTAAAGTCACACTCAAAATGAACGTGAAAACACACCACAGGCAGATCCAACTTTGATGTAATGTGTATTTAAAACAAGTCAAAATGAGGTTCAGTAGTGTGTGTGGCCTCCACATGCCTGTATGACCTCCCTACAATACCAGCACATGCTCCTGACAAGGTGGTGGATGTTCTCCTGAGGGATCTCCTCCCAGACTTGGACTAAAGCATCCTCAAACTCCTGGACAATGTGTGGTGCAACATGGCGTTGGTGGATGGAGCGAGACACGATGTCCCAGATGTGCTCAATTGGATTCATGTCTGCCTTTGTCTTGCAGGAACTGCTGACACACTCTAGTTACATGAGGTCTTGCATTGTCTTGCTTTAGGAGGAACCCAGGGCCAACTACACCAGCATGGTGTTTAGAATCTCATCTTGGTACCTAATGGCAGTCAGGCTATCTCTGGTGTAGCACATGGAGGGCTGTGCGGCCCCCCAAAGACGAGCCACCTCACACCTTTACTGACCCACTTCAAAACCGGTCATGCTGGAGGATGTTGCGGTTTCAAGCAAGCACCACCAAGCAATAACACTTTATTCATTTGGAGTCATAGTTAGGGGCAGATGTTTGACCTACAGAAAAAACATTAGCAGATGTGAAGCAGGAGCGCGAAAAGCATTTTCCTTTAATCCTATCAGACAGCTTGTATCCTACTGGTGCGCCTGTGTTTATCTGCCACTCCAAGCTGATGTTAATGGGAGCTTGACGAGTGTTGTTGCTCTCGGCCTTCGTGCTTATGTAAGTGCATTCATGCTGGGGCTGGACCAAACAGTTCATGTTTGTTTTACTGAGAGGACACTGATTAGCTTCAGGCACGCGGGTCAATTAGCTGCTGCTTTTGTTTGCTGCTGTAGTGAATCCCCTCTGTTGTTTTACACCCCCCACATAGACATCACTGTACAACATCTGCTCTTTTCTTCTGTCTTCATCTTTCATTTATACACTCGTTTTCTCCTCCTTTGGCACTTGTACATACTTCAGCCTTTTTAAATCCATCCATCGATGCTGGTCTGATCCAGTTATTGTAGCTGACCTCTAGGGTAATACGCGCTCTTCTCCCTGGCTGGAAGGATCATGCCAGCTGATTGGAGAGTAGTAGTACAGTTAAACGGGAGTTTCCCTGGCTGGAGGCACTTGGAAGATTTTCACCACCATCCATTCAGCCAGAAACTACTCTTCCATCTCTCCAACGTCCTTAAGGCTCTTAGTGAATTTAGGAGGTTGGGATGATGACCTGAAGATGTGAGTTACCACACATCTCCACCACTGCATAGCCTCTCACCCATCTCTCTAAACCCCCTCCCCTCCATGTGTCTGCCTTTACAGTGAGCTTCGTGAGTTTATGTTGGCTAATAAAACCCTCCTAATGTAAATATGTCTCTTGTTGTGTAGGCTAGTGGCCGCTGAGGGCGAAGAACCTCGCTTTATGAAAGAAGAGGAAGAGGAAGAAGTTGAAGAAAGCAGTGAGGAGGAAGAAGAGGAGCTGACACCAGAAGAACAAGGTACACCACTTTTGTTCTTATTTGAACAGATTGTCATCTTAACAATTTGGTATCCATGGCAATGGGTACCAAAGTCTATTTATACCTGTCCTCTTTAATTTAAATGGTCCTCTGCAGCTGAGGGTGACTCCACGCTGCTCCATAGTGAGGTGTTGGCAGAAAGGGATCTGTCTGAGAAAGTGTTCTTTGACCTTATTGCTGACTTTCCTCTAGACACACACACACACACACGCACGCACGCACGCACGCACGCACGCACACACACACACACAATGTGTCCACAAGCTTTTGACCGTTCCTTGACCTTGTTCATCTGTATGTCCTCTCAGACATTAATTCCCTGTAAGGCAGAGTTATTGGTGGAGCTGAATAGTGCGTGCACACACACACACACACACACACACACACACACACACACACACACACACACACACACACACACACACACACACACACACACACACACACACACACACACACACACACACACACACACACACACACGCACGCTTGAAACTTGATAATATTACTTGATCTTGTTAAGTTTTATGAGTACAGTAGCATGAAGAAGAGACGAAAGGTAGAGAGGCGTCTTTCCCAGGATTGTCATATATATGAAAAGAACCCAATGATGGAGGTGCTGTGTGTGAAGAGAGGACCAGCCCACCAGTTTATACAGCTCCTAGTGGGCAAACACGATACAGACACAAGAGGTTGATGTTTATCTGTGTTGATTAAATCATTTCTACCTTATTTTGTAGCAAAAAAGAAGCAGTTTCAGATGATGAGGAAGATGCATTATAATGAGGGCCTGAACATAAAGCTGGCTCGTCAGCTGATTGCCAAAGAGCTTGAGGAGGATGAGGATGAAGATGAAGATGAAGAGATGAGGGACGATACCGAGGAGACCGAGGAGATCAGTGTTGACCCGCCACAGGAAGGTGACGACTTGTGCGCGTGTGTGTGTGTGTGTGTGTGTGTGTGTGTGTGTGTGTGTGTGTGTGTGTGTGTGTGTGTGTGTGTGTGTGTGTGTGTAAGCAGGTGTCAGCCTCTGGGTCTGAAAAGTGACTCAGATGTAGGCGTGTCTTAAACCTTAATTGTTTCTGAGGCTCATATAATTGATTAGAAATGACTGATCTGAAAGGATTTGATAAGAACAATAATGTAAATAACAAGTTTATCTAACGCTTGCAAGTGATGCTTGGTTTAAAATGTATGTTATGATTTTTGTTTGATCTCATGTCTGTCGTGTCTCCAGGTGAATCGTAGACGAGGCCCGTCTCTCACCTTCAGCTCTGTGTCGACTCCAAACTCTTAAACATGCAGCAGACACCAGTTCAGCACCTGTAACATCATCTCTCAACAGCCAGTAACGTTCTGGTCACCTATCTCATCTTCTGTAGAACTAGTGCAATACAACCTTCCAAAATAAAACAAACCTCCTGGAGTCAACACACACACACACACACACGCACACAGACTGTTTCCTGTCCTGCTTCTCGTCTCCTGTTGCCAAGAATGTCCTCCCTCCTCACAGCTTGTCTGGACTGGCTTTGCACTGATGGATATGTTATTCTGACCCTGAGAGGAGGATCAAAGCCTTTTCAAAAAAAAAAAGAATAAAACAAACAACAAAAACTTGAACAACGTCAATAACCGGACTAACTGAACCAGCGTGCTGGTCCTGGAAGAAGCCAGAGGAAACCCCACATCCGAGACATGAGCGTGCTCAGATGGATCTTTTATTTTTTCCTCCCTTGTGACCGACCAGGTGTTGCTTTTTGTTCTTTTATCAATACTTGTGATCAGAGCTGGTTAAGAAGACGTTTGGCTTTAAACAATTAAAGTGTTTATTTGGTTTGGCTGTTTCACTCAAATTATTCCATCCTGGCACAAAGATCAATCATCTAAAACCGAACTAACAAACGTAACTAAAGGAAAGCTTAGAACTGAGGATGTGCTTCACAGATTGAGTCGGCTCTTAAAAGGGACATCAGGAGAAACGATGAGCAGACGTGAGTATTACAAAAAAAAGCAAGACTGACCCTGTTTCAAGTTTACAGACATTTATATCTCATGTCATCAGACTTCTGGCCACGTCCAACCGGGAGGAGACCTAAAGGTAGACCCAGGACACGGTGGAGGGACTATGTCTCTCACCTGGCCAGGGAACGCCTTGGGATTCCCCCGGAGGAGCTGGCCCAAGTGGCTGGGGGAGAGAAGTCTGGGCCTCTCGCCTTAGGCTACTGCCCCCGCGACCCGACTCCGGATAAGCAGATGAAAATGGATGGATGGATGGGTCATCAGACTTGGTGCCACTTTCAAATGGAATCAGCTTGAATCTGTTTGTTTTGACGTTACTACGACCAAACATCGTTTGGGTGTTTCTTTGCTAAAGAAGATCTGAGCTGTAGAGGGATGGTTGCTGAGTTACAGTATTTAATTATTTAAAGATATCTGGAGGTACAGTATTCAGGTGTTGCTGCTGAGGGTTAGCATGTGCTACTGATGAATAGGACCCTTTGTAAATCTCTTAGTAGAGCTGAAGCGTCAGCAACCTGCGCTCACTGCTTTTTCTCATCCAATCAGAGCTTTGTCAAACTAAATTAGTCATAGAGATGTCTGAATTTTCACCTGATGATGTCACATATAGTTTTAACGCTGCAGCGTCGGATCTACTTAAGCTTCTTGCACAGAACGGCGATGAAAGTTGTGCTATTGATGCTACTGACGTACGTTGGAGGGGAACATTAACCACTAAAGCTTACTGAAGGTGTTCAGGGACTTTTGTACTGTTCCAGGTTTCAGGAGTGTCACTGTTTAGTCTTAAAAAGCAGTCCCAGTATCAGCTAAATGGCTGCTCACTGTATGACTTCACAGACGAAATGTGAAATGAAAAGGCACGTTCTTCGTCATCTGTTTTTCTCCTCACTGTGATTGGAAAAGCTGAGCTTTTTAATGCTGAAACACAAATGATCCCAGCAGATTTCAAGGCCTCTGCCAAAGTTTCTTTGTGATTTTTCTTCCTCCTTCGATTTGAAGATTTGTGATGTGAAGGAAATTACTTTTTACCTGTTTCCAGCAGCTGATAAAATGCACAATTTCTTAAATGGACAGAGGAGTTGAGCAGTTGCTTAATAAAAATGCTTTTTGAAAACACAAATGTATTGAAAAATAGAATTTTTTAGGACTATTTTCTTGTGTTTCTGCCTCAAACGTTTAACTGATTAAAAAGTTCTAAAATCTTTGATTTTTGTTTTCTCACCTATAAAACAAGCTAAAACATGACTGACCTGATCGCCCACTGGGTGGTTATTACCTTTCAAATGTGCCTCTTAAGTATTCATGTAAAAATGATGAAGCTTTTCTTTAGTCTCATTTTATTACCTCATGTTTTGCATCACTTCTGCCCAGTTTTTTTCTTTTTGTTGACCCTGGCTGTCAAAACCATGTTTTATTTGATTTTCCGTCTCCATTTTGTCCTGTTTGCATTTTCATAAACATCAAATTGTGTATCTTTTCCCCTGCCTTTCATTAAACATATTGATAGAAATAATTTTGTCAGATCTGTTTGCTTTGGTTCTGAATGATGCAGAAAAAAATTAAATCGGCTTCAGATTTCTTCGATTTCATATTTTCCATTTTTTGTTTCTTTGTTTTTGTACTTAAACTTTTCCCTACTGTGTTTCTCTTGTCATTAAAAGTAGATCCTGTAGATCCTACAGGACAATTTTCACAAAAGGAAATCCATTAAAATTATTCCTTATATTAATTTCAAATAATAAATGAGCATCTTATTACAATGCAGTCTAGGCTCTTTTTGTCTTGTTTTCTTCTATAATTTCCAGTTTTTTACAGGTACTACTAAATAAATTGAATGCTGCATAAACATTACATAAAATAAATATGGACAGAAATGTCAGGCTCCTAAAAAGTGTTTACTTTTATGCATCAATACTTGGTTGGGTCTCATTTTGCATGAGCTTCTGCATAAATCCAGCATGGAGACCATCAGCCGGTGGCTCTGCTGGGGTGTGACGGAAGCCCAGGTTGTTTGGATACAACCAGCTGTTGTAGAAATTGAATGACCTTTTATGGCTTCCACTCAAACTGACCCAGACTGTGAGATCATTTACAGCAGGCAGGGGCCTCCAACCCTAGTCCATGAGAGGGCCCCTATCCTACATGTTTTAGTTGTTTCCCTGCTCCAATTTACCTGATTTAACCAGTTCTGCATGTGGTCAAGCTCTACAGATGTTTGTTAATCACACACACATTAAAATTAGGTGTGCAGAAGCAGAAAAACCTGTGAATTGTAGATGTCATATGCAGAATCATAAATAGAAGTAAAGTGTTATTCATGCTATTTCAATAAAACAATAGAAATGTAACAATTGGCATTACTCTGAGTTGTCAAATAATTCCATTTTACTTTTATGCTAGACAAATACAAAATACAAATATTTTATTAAAAGGTTAATTTAGAAAAATTTTAATCTAAACTGCATTGGTAGTGGAACTACCAAATAAATTAAATTAGCACCACTAGATGGTGCTGTTTAACCACACACCCCAAGTCCCCACGGGGTTTTGGTGTATCTAATGGGATGAGGATGGCGCATTCTAAGGACAAACGTGTCATCTGTCGTCTTATCTAAGCGAGCAACGGCGTTACAGTGCGAGAAACTAAGACATCTGCATAATTCTTCCCCGATATAACAAAAAGTGTTTAACCCTTTTACAGCCAAATGATTGTTTTGTGCCCATTAAGAGAACTGTTGGAGAGTGTTTTAAAAGTATTAAAATGGGTCCAGGCTCCCTGTAGATCAGGAAGCTCCGGTCAACTAACCCAAAGATGCTCAAAAAGAAAGACCAATCACTCTTGTGTTGTCTTTCTACAATCACTGGTTTTTACTTTATGTGCTGTTCTTTAACACGGACCGCATAAACCCAGGTGTATTTTATTACCACATTATTGTTCTAAAACAAGAAACTGTCATTCTAATTGTTCTGTGTAAAAATGTAGTTTGTTGATTTTTGTTAGAACTGTCAAATAGTTTCCAGTGCAACTCATCTATCCGCCACACATGCGCAGTGCTCACTGTCCGGAGTGCCGTTTTCCCCATTTGCTCTAGACGATCTTTGAGAGGTTCTGGAGAAAAGCTCCTCGCGCAGGCTGCTATGATCCAGCAACTGGGCGACACTTTCTGTTTTCAGCCCTGACTGCTGCGTTGGAAACTGTTTGAGGCTTTTTTCTGGGGCACTGATACTATTAAACAAAACAACGCTTATGACTACTATCCAGCGACTTTTTAAATTGTAGCTGCTGGCCTCCGAGGCTAGCTGGCTAGCGGAGCGGTGACGGAGCGGAGCCAGCTGGTCGGACAAACAGAAACGTTAGCGAACAAGCTAATTAGCCTGAGCCCGGATTAACGTCTTCAACCAAACAGAGCAAAGCAAGTCTGTGGGCTCACTCACCACCGGAAAACATGAAAATAACTGTGGATTTTGAGGAATGCCTGAAAGACTCCCCGCGGTTCAGGTGAGTGATCACAAGTAATGTCCCCCGCTCGTTTTTTAAGGTTCCAAGCCAGAAAAGTATCCAGCTAGCTGCTTTCACAACGAAACGCACTAGCTGTTGTTTGCCTTCTACTTTTCTATTTTTGTCTCTAAGAATACTGGATCCAGACGGGGAGGGTGCTTGGTGGGGCAAGGAAACCAAACAAACTTACTGAGCTACTCCAGTGCCCGTCTTCTGTTGATAAATTATGCAAAAATTGGAAAATACATGAAATATTAATGTAGGAAACTAAAGGCTGTTGCCAGTAGTAGCTTTTAAACACTGTATCAGTTTATTAGTAGTTAGCAATCACCTCTTCCAATCAGATTACTTTGGGATTGTGTTAAATCTTCAATGCTTTGTTCGTTTAGAACCTGAAACACCACACACTTGTTCTAAAAGTCTTTCCATTCATATGAGATCAAACACCTCTTTGAAAATATTAAAAGTACAAAAGAGTTCCACCATTGTCTAAGTGTTCAGTGTGTACAACAGGATATTTTAGAGCTGCTGATGTTGTATTTTTTCATAAAACCAGATATGAGGAACTTTGATTTTGCAAGAGGAGTTCTTGCTAAGATGTTCATTTCCAAATTAGTCATCACTGAGAAGAATGGCTACTTTAGTGAAGAAACTAAAGATTTACACAAAGGATTTTTTTACTGTCAGACACGAACATGGTGGTTTAAATTAAAGATAGATTTTAGTGTGTTTTGCTTGGGATTGTTATACCTTCCCTTGCTGATTACACTCATTCATAGACTGTTTTAGCTGTTAAATGCATACTTTTTTTTATCTTCATCTGACTTTTTTGGCATCAGCAGCTTTGTTACTCAATATGCACGACTGCTTTCCTTTTTCATGTCATCGCAACAAAAGAAGATGTAAAATGAGATGTTTGCATTTAACTCTCTGTCCTCCCCAGTTGATCTGTAGTGAGAATGCCTCGTCCCTCATCCTTTCACAGTCCCACACTCTGCTGCTGAAACATCCTCTCCCAACTAAACAAGAAACAGATGTTAGAAAGTTTCTTTAGAAAGATAGTGTTTTTTATTCAGAGCATTTCTTTTTGGGTCACATTCAAGAGTTTGACCCAAAAGAAGCTTCCCAGACAGCTGAGAGATCTTATGACATGCTATTCCATCTTTTAAGTTATTTTTTTAATTGCTTTTAACATAATTACATATGATCTTATTTGGGATTGCTTGTGGATAACAAAGCTTTATAAAGCATCTTTGAACTCTAGAAAAATGTTAAAATAACCTTCTTTTTATCCATTCTCAAGCATTTCCATCCCTTTGTGTTGTATTTATTAACCTTTTGGATGCACACCAAACATTGCATGCAGGGTTGTGCATGTAGTAGATTTTATATATGCTTGCACACTGCAGGTGATTCATTAAAGATCTAAAAAGCACACCACACTTGATCAAATATGGAGATTTTTGGGCTTTGGAACAATGTCTATTCAAGGTTAACAGTCTTGGGCAAAAGAAAATGGGATGCAAGTTAGTGGTAACTGTTTTGAATGTGTTGAGGGTGCAGTTTTACTCAGCATCCCAGCTTTAGCTAAGGGGAAAAGGCAGCAGCACCACTAAGTCCACATGCCTAATATAGCTGTTATAACTTAATTTGCGCAGCCACGTCACTTGTCTGTCCTCTTGTTGTCTGTGCTGATGGAGACATAGCCATTAATAAATATTACAGAGTCAGAAGTTCTGGTTATTAATCTGTTTTTAATCCTGATTTCAGATATCTGATTTCTGTTTTTTTATTCATAAGCAAGTACTCCATCATCATAATCAGTCACTAATATTTTATGGAAACATGCAGGAATGTCTGTTGCATGAGTTATAATTTGAGATGCTCATTAGACTAAATGAAAAGTCTCACTTTATACTTGTTACTTTTATTATTATTATTATTATTATTATTATTCAAGGTTTCTTCCCATGAAGTCCCGATAAGCATATCCCTCTCTGGCTTTTTTCCGTACCCTTTGATCTCTGGGAGAGCCATCTGTCAACATTTCCTGTCTTAAACTCTGCTGGAGTTCTGTATTTATCAGATGCTGTCACAGCTCCGTCTCCCTCTCCAATTGTCAGTTTTACTCTCCTTTTTCCATTCTCCCCCTCTTTTTGTGATTTTTCAGCTTTAGACAAACAAACAAAAAGAGCGACAGAGAAAAGAGAGAATGCCTGAAAACATGTATTCTATACAAACACTCACTTGTAAAACATCTGTTTCCATTTTGGCTTTTGCTTTCAGAGACTATAAGAAGACCCAAATGTAGAGAAGGTTGTTTTAAGTGGTAATTTGGCACACCCACAGGTTTTTTCCCCCCATCTTAATCTCATCGTCACTTTGGTTGAGAAAGTGCCTTGGCTTTCGGCTTTCAGGCTGGAAGATAAGTATTTTTGGGATGTACACTCTCGTAGTCTAGTTTCCCTCTTGAGAACAGACATCGGACTCAGCCTTGAGCTTTCTTGGCTCCTCCTCAAGTATGATGACTGAAAAACCCCTTCAAAATGTTGCGGCTTTGCTCGCCACATGTCTAGGAACAAAATTTTACCATATTTGATTCCTTTCCATCGTGCAGAGTACCAATTAGACCTAGTATGTGCTGTATAGATTATAAACCTATTTCAGCTTGTATGGGCAGCTTCAGACCTTCAATAAAGATAAGTTCCATTCAAATAACCAGAATATTTAATGCTCCTTTCTAAATAAATCATGCAGGGAACCAAGGGATTAGAGCTGGAAAGACATGTTTTCAAATGCAGTAGACATTTACTGCCCAGAACTGAGCTTATTTCTGTAATTATCAGCAGCGTTTGTCTCTCAGTTCACTCTCCTCACTAATTACAACACTACTGCATACTCCAAAATAGACTCTGCTGATTCTGAGCTTGGATGAGCGCCATTATATGAAGTCAGTTGTTGAACGTCTTCTGTTGCAGTTTCTACCTCTGACAGCAGCCAAGAGGCAGCAGATACACATGATGATGCTGATACTGAGATACGATCTGACCAGCTGGCCCCCATTCAGATCTGCTTGCATCTTCAGCTTTAAATTTGAGGGCTTTTTTTCCCCTCTTTGGTCACGACAAAGTGAATGAAATGCCAGGCCTAAGATCTGAAATTTGATTAACTGAAATGGCAAAAGCTGATACTAAATCAATTGGTTGACCTTTAAAAATGTTTTGTTCCAGCTTCTATTAATCATATTTTTATCCATCATTTATTACTTAATCTGATATGTTTCTATTAGGGCTGCACAATAAATAGCAAATGTACAGTCATCGCAATATTGGCATGCGCAATACATATATCAGAAAGTACAGAAAAAAACGCAATGGTCAGCTCAAGTGTTTGCTACACATAATGCATTTTGTCAATCAAACAGAAGCATGAAGTTTTTGACAAATCAGAAAGGGTCCTTCACCCATTTGGCCAATCGGATGGGTTCTTCTTATAGGTTACGTGCCCCCTCTAGGTGGACGGCACCTAATTTGGATGGCTACCTAACTACCCGGGCCCACCAGACTCATCCTCTGTTTAATTCTGCACAGAATTTCTCTGTGCAGAATTAAACAGAGGAGTCTGGCAGGCCAGGCTACTAGCAAACGCCCGAGTTAGCTTCCTTCTGTTTTTCCCAGGATCCACTGATTGCCTTTTCTTGTTCTTTTTCTTTTCCCCTTTTCTCACATCTTTTGATCACTATTTTTCCTTTTTCATGTTTTTTTTGTTACTTTTAAAAATTGTCATTGCAATAATAATCACTGTTACCACGCATCGCAGGTCTTCCTATATCATGTAGCCCTAGTTTCTATTACAGTCATCTGACCTTTAACTGAGCTTCAACTCATTTTACACAGTGTCATATTTGTGTGTTCTCTCCTGCAGCATCATGTTAGCTTCAGTACTATTCATTCCACTATGTTTGCTGTAGATACTGAAGAGACTAACTTCCCTCTTTAGTGTTTCCTTCCTACAATCAAGGATGTTCACCTGGTGCGAAAGTGTGAGCGGTCTATTATGGCTAGCGATTACAACATCCAGGACACTTTTCCAAAGCTTGTAAGGGGCTATCATAAAGTTATGACTTCATTTTGGTGATGCTCATGTGTCTAATTGTAGCCCCCCCCCCATGTGTTACCACAGCTTCTCTGTGTAACAATTACAGGATCTACGTCACAGCTCTGAAGCTCACCCCATTCTTCACATTTCCATCCACAGTAATGGATGAATTGTTTTCCATCTTCCACCTCTGTTATTTCAGCCCAGTAGAGTATAGCAGAACCCCTTTTAGTGCCTGTTGGTTTTAGCTTTTGGAGCAAATTCTTTTTTTTTAGAACAAAGCAAACACTATATATATAATTGTGTCTGCACGTTGCAACATAATTGCATGCAGATGGAAGAAGAAGTGATTACATAAACACTGCATGACTGTTTAGAACGTAACAAAGAAGTAGTCAGCTGTCTTGTAGTTAAATTTGTTGAAGTAGGCATTCTTGGTGCTGACTGGGATGTTTCCTGTAGTTTTCAAATAATTTGTACTGATTTAATCAATTTCCCTCTGGGATTAATAAAGTACTTTTGAATTCATTTGAATTGAATTATAGTAGTATGGAATCAAACACAGAATAATCTTTATTTTCTTACTATTTCTGTCAGTTTAATGATCCGTAGGTGTTCGTTTTGTTTGTTTGTTGGGCCAGCAGGGTGAATAATGACCCTGTTGGACCGCCTCACTTCTGCGTTTGTAGCACCGGCAAGCTGCTGTCCAGCTGCCACATGGAGCTTCAGAGGAGGCCCACGTTGTTTTTGGAATAGTGGTCTCTAAACCACTGCTAAAGAATGAGGTCTCTCTGTTTTTGCATCACAAATGCAGACAGATCTTTTCACCAGCACTTGTTGGCTGAAGGGAGCCAGTGCAATAAAAATCCAGTTTTCTTGTTGTTGGCATAGACAGGATTTTAGTCACTCGCAGTAAAAAAATAATCTTTAAGTTAAGCCTACATTTGAAAGCTGTACCAGTTTGAGACAGATTTACAACTTGGAAAATTAAAACCTCATAGTGACCAGAAGGTAATTGAATATACAGCAAGAGTTCAGTTCAGACTTAAGTTGTACCTGGAGGTACATTTATTTTGCAGTGAGGTGAGTCCTGGCTTGTTTAAAACAGACAAATAAAAAACATATGGCACATAAATAACATAGAAACACAGCGATAGCTCAGGAGGTTGAGCGGGCAGATTCGATCCCGGCTCCGGACAAAATAATTCTGCTGTTGTGTCCTTGGGCATGACCCTTAATCTACCTTGCCTGCTGGTGGTGGTCGGAGGGACCGGTGATGCATGTGCTTGGAAGCCTCAGTGCGCAGGGCAGCTGTGGCTACGTTGTAGCTCATCACCACTAGGGTGTGAATGTGTGTGTGAATGGATGAATGATGAATGTAGTCCAAAGGGTTCAAATGACGGCAACTGGACTTGTTTGGTTTCTTGAAGATGTTTCGCTTCTCGTCCGAGGAGCTTTGTCAATTCTAACTGGAATATGGGAGAGTCAAGCTTATAAGCTGTAGCTTCACCAGCATGATGCACTGTAGTGTAAAGCGTTTGGAGTCCTCTGACTCTGAAAGGCGCTACACATGTGCGGGTAATTTATCATTGATCATAAAAGCTTAAGCTTATTTAAAAGGCTCGTGGCAGTAGGGATCCAGATGGACTTTGTACCTGTCAGGAAGACAGTGTGTCGGGGTGCATCACATAGCCAATACAATTAAGAAAACAACAGTCTTGAGTCCAGTCTGATAGATTTTTGGGAAATGATGTGTAACATAGGATGTGCCTCGGGGATTTTTGCATGCTCAACTTCACTGTAAAGAGAAGTAGAACCTTTGTCTGTGATACTGAATTAGCCTTTTAAAAAATGTGGGTAAGACAGTCTTTCCTCTTTTTAAAGTATTTTAAACCACACAGTTTGTCCTTTCTTGGGTTCACTTCACACCAAAACACTTGACATGAGACATCCCACTTCCCCAGTTTATTATAATGCACTTAAAACTGTGTTTTTTGTTCTGCAATTTAAGTTTGTTTCAATCTAGGCCAGTTTTGTCACAGAGGTGGATTTTTAGTCAGTTAGTTTATATAAGATGATTCAAATGTGTGTATTTTACTCCACGGTCAGAAAATCACTATTGAAACTTGAGGTCTGTGTGTGTTCCTGTTTGGTTCTGTTTGTCTCCCCGTGCAAAATGTGCTTACAGCATTCTGATTGATGACGTATGTTATAATTAAAAGTCTGTGTGGCTGGCTCTCTTCCTTTCTTCTACTCATTATCTAGACTCACACGGCACATGCTCCAAAGTCAGATCTGTGAGGCTATGGCCCAAATTTCCTTTTCGACATCTTATCCTGTCAGCACTTTCACAAGTTCCGCCTACAGGCTCAAGTTTCTGGAAAGTTGTTCTAAGGAAATCTAGGAGTTTGAAGATGAGTTCATCTCTATTCTGTGATTGCATTAGAATCCAATAGAAATTGCTATGGTTTGTACACACAAGCTCAGCATCTTGACCATTTCACCCTGCTAGTAAGCAGATGTTGACAGATGTCGCTCAGTGAAACCATATGGATAAACAAACAGCTGCAGGTAGTTTAGGAGCTATTTTTAATTAGCTATTATTAATCATTGTTAAATAATGAGGAATAATAATTTGTTTTCTAGAAAGGAGACCACATTTGAGCTGAAATGTTCAAATGAAAACCATCACTGTTAGTGTTTTCTTTCCCCTCTTTTTAGTTTATTGACATGAACAGTTTGGATAGAATTTATTAGAGAATAAAGAAAGTGTGCAGATTATCATCAGAGAGCAGAGATTAATTCTCAACGCCCGAGTTTTCATGAGTTCTTCAGGTTTATTTTTCTCTTGGTGGGATTTTAAAGCTTGGAGGCTGTTGATTTTACAGACAACAAATCTGTGCCTCTCTGTTTGAAAGGGCAGACCTGGTTCTTGTTATCAGGCCTGACCCAGAGCAGCAATTTTTTTTTCCACAGTGATTTTTGTCGGTGTCTTACAAATGTAGAAGGTCTTATGCTCCTCTTGTAGTTTTCACAGGTGCTTATAATAAAACCTGTGTTTTTTCCATCACAGAGCCACCATAGAGGATGTGGAGGGGGAAGTGTGCGAGTTGGAATCCAAGCTGGACAAAGTGAGTACCACCCATAAAAACATTGATTAGTTCATCACTTTCTCCACAGTGTGAACTGGCTACTAAAAAGAACATGAGTGAGAAGGTGCAGGTTTGTCCCCGTCTTCATCCCCTCTGTATTCTCTTGTCCAATTACATTTTATTAAGCAAAAAGGACAAAATGTAGGAATTCTATAGTGAAACAAAAATCACAAAACAGTCTTTGTCAGTCATGTTGGATTGAATGTTAAACTGAAACAGATTTCATTCTCAGTTGACTGGGGTGGGGTGGGGGGGTAAGTTTTTATCTTTTCACAAAAACTAAAGAGGGACGTAGACACTTTTTGCAGTCTGTGAGCCTGCGGGTTTGCTGAGTCTGCGCCATGCTAACGTTGCAGTGCCGGCATTTGTAATTTAGCATCAACAGACAAAAAGCTTCAGAGTTATTTAAAGAATCAAAGCTAGTAAACCGGAATGACCCAAAACCTTCTTCTCCTAACACCCATTTCACACTGGAAACATCAGCGGCATGGAATGGCAGCGGAATGGTTTACTCCCGAGCTTCAATGCTGTCCAGTACACACCGAGAGAGTCTGTGCCATGGATTGACTTTCTCGCTGTGCTCCTCGTTGAACTCTCAAGATCACAAGCTCCCTCGAGATTTCAGTGCTCATGGTTTGTTTATGCAATCTGCCATTAAACCAAAAAGAAGAAAATCACTCTTTATATCACAGTTTGATGTCATAAATGATGTTGTTCCTCATCAATGCCAGGGTTAAAGCCATGATAAACATACTGTTGCACTTCTTGAACGGTGCAGGGAGTAAGTAAGCCATTAGGTCACATGTAAGCTACATATATGAAATTGGATTGCTGCAATTCTTTTACTTTGAAAATTAACAGGGATTTTACACTGAAACTGTGTATGATTTCCTGTCTAGCCGTATGTTAACTGTCGAAATTGACGTGTCCCAGATATAGCTCTAAAAAGTGGCCCTAAAAAGTATCTCAAGCTGCTTTTTGAATTACCAACAACTCAATACTACAGTGAAAAGTATGTATGAAGCGAATAATGAATCAGTTGTTGTGTTTAACTTCTTTTCATGAGTCATTCAGAATTATAACAGCAAGACGGAAAACAACTGCACTTCCTTTAATGCTGGAGAAAAATGATAATTATAAGTGTAGTAAGTGCTCCTACTGTTAAACACTGATCCATGGTGCTGATCCATATCTGGCAACTCAACGGAACGGCAGTAAGACGATAACTTTTGCTTAGAAAATTGATTTACTCTGACCAAATTTAACCACATGATGTCATTTTTACGCCATTCATACATATTACACATTTAAATATGTTTTAGCATTGAACACAATTGCTGTTTTCTGGTACTGTAGTTTCCGGATCTGCTCGGAGGCTTGCGCCTGCTGATGACGTCATCATACTTTGGCAAAACCGCTCGGCCAAAATATCTCCAGATAACATCTGTTTTTCAGTTATGTTATTTTATTTATGTTTGTAAAAAGTTTGACAGTTTTGTTATTAAATTTGTGTTTCTTACCTCTTAATTGTTTTTGAACATGGTAAAGTAACTTCCGTAAGTTGTACATCCAGCCAATCAGCTAGTGTGACGTCATCAACAGGCGCAGGACCCCAAGCTGGCCAGAAGGAAACATGGCTTGCCTAAAGACACTAGACACGTGTCTTATGTACTTTAGACCAGATTTTTATGGTTAAACTGTACAAAGCCGCCAATATTTTTCAACAACTGGACATCATTTTATTCATTTTTAACAATGGGAATATTTCCAGAGATTAAAAGTAAAAACTAATGATTACCTCTTCAAGTTTTGATTAAAAAGTTGCAACAACACCATAACCCACACCCAACTACAAACTTCCTGTTTATAACATATTAATCAATCAATTCTATCTTTCCAACCCCTTCTCCGGTGTCCAACAGTCTGTACATCCCATTCTAGTCGACAAGTAGGCTCTTAAGGGAACTTATCAAGTCCATCTGAGGGTTAGAGTTTTAGAAAAATGATCGAAACGTCTTTTTTCCTGTGGTAGATTTACTTTTGTGAAACTTTGAGCCTTGAGCCCCTACGTTATAGTTTATTTGTTAACTACATTATCACTCCGATTGCCTGAACCTTAAAACCCAAACCAAACAGAGTTTTTGAACCTTATCCTAGAAGAGCAAATCAGCACCCCACCTCCCACCTCAGCACATCCCTGCTGAGCTAAAGTATGTCCTCCAGCTGTGAGTGAGACCTTGAGCTTGGAAGAAGCAGCTTCATTGTTCCTGGACTCTGTCGTGGAGTCCCAGCCTCGTCCTGACCCCACCTCTGTGACTCAGCCCGGCTTCACTTCCCCTCATACTGTGGAGAGGAAAGATCTGCCAGGGAGTGGGTGTGTTTGCTGCATGAGTATGGCTGTGATAGTGTGTGTGCGTGCATGCGTGTGTGTCACCCAAGCTGTGGGTGGAGTCAGGCTTACAGAGACTAAAGTCTCTTTTTCAGCTTTGTTTGCTTAGCCACCACGCACGCACGCACGCACGCACACACACACACACACACACACACACGTAATGTGCTACAATGTAGCCACAACTGCATTGGGGCACACTGACAGAAGTGATTTAATTTGCTCTCACAGCATCAAAAATAAGTAACTGTTGTTAACCACCCAACTCCAGTTTCTTCTAAATCTGTTCTCCTCTAAAGGTACAATAAGTAATAATTTTACAATTAAATAATCACAAAACAGTTTAATGTCTCAATCATGTTGGAAGGAACCGTCACCTTGAACCGTCACCTTATCGTGGTGGAGGAGTTTGAGTGCCCTAATGATCCTAGGAGCTATGTTGTCTGGGGCACTTAGTGCCCCTGGTAGGGTCTCCCATGACAAATTGGTCTTAGGTGAAGGGTGAGACAAAGAACGGTTCGAAGGATCTTTCATGGCGGTTAAAACAAAGAGTCGGAGTACCCGGCCCGGAGGGTTACCGGGGTCCCACCCTGGAGCCAGGCCTGGGGTTGGGGCCCGTGAGCGAGCGCCTGGTGGCCGGGCTTTCGCCCATGGGGCCCGGCCGGGCCCAGCCCGAACCGGATACATGGGCTTGTCCAACTGTGGACCCACCACCCGCAGGAGGAACATGAAGGGTCCGGTGCAATGCGAATCGGGTGGCAGACCAAGGCGGGAGCCTTGGCGGTCCAATCCCCGGACAAGAAAACTAGTTTTTGGGACATGGAACGTCACCTCGCTGGCGGGGAAGGAGCCGGAGCTTGTGGCAGAGGTTGAGCGGTACCGGCTAGATATAGTCGGACTCACCTCGACACATTGCATTGGCTCTGGAACCCGAGACCTGGAGAGGGGTTGGACACTCTACTTTGCTGGAGTTGCTCCGGGTGAGAGGCGGAGGGCTGGGGTTGGCTTTTTGTTAGCCCCGAGACTCTCTCCCTGTGTGTTGGGGTTTACCCCGGGGGACAAGAGGGTAGCTTCCTTAAGCCTTCGGGTCGGGGAACGGGTCCTGACTGTTGTTTGTGCTTATGGGCCAAATATCAGTTCAGAGTACCCACCCTTTTTGGAGTCCCTGGGACGAGTGCTAGATAGTGCTCCATCAGGGGACTCCATTGTCCTGCTGGGGGACTTCAATGCTCACGTGGGCAATGACAGCTTGACCTGGAGGGGTGTGATTGGGAGGAACGGCCCACCTAATCTGAACTCGAGCGGTGTTTTGTTATTGGACTTCTGTGCAAGCCGCAGTTTGGCCATAACGAACACCATGTTCGAACATAAGGATGCCCACCGGTACACTTGGTACCAGGGCAGCCTAGGTCACAGGTCGATGATAGATTTTGTAGTCGTATCATCTGACCTGCGGCTGTATGTTTTGGACACCCGAGTGAAGAGAGGGGCGGAGCTGTCAACTGATCACCACCTGGTGGTGAGTTGGATCAGATGGCAAGGGAACATGCCGCGTAGACCTGGCAGACCCAAACGCATAGTGAGGGTCTGCTGGGAACGCCTGGCAGAAGAACCTGTCAAGACGGTCTTCAACTCCCACCTCCGGCAGAGCTTTGACCACGTCCCGAGAGCAGTGGGGGACATTGAGTCCGAGTGGACCTTGTTCCACTCTGCGATTGTCGAGGCGGCTGTTGCTAGCTGTGGTCGTAAGGTGGCCGGTGCCAGTCGTGGTGGCAACCCCCGTACCCGCTGGTGGACACCAGAGGTTCGGGGAGCCGTCAGGCTGAAGAAGGAGGCCTACAGGGCGTGGCTGGTCTGTGGGTCTCCGGAGGCAGCAGACAGGTACCGGATAGCCAAGCGGGGTGCAGCAGTGGCAGTTGCCGAGGCAAAATCTCGGGCGTGGGAGGAGTTTGGTGAAGCCATGGAGAAAGACTATCGATCGGCTCCAAAGAGGTTCTGGCAAACTGTCTGGCGCCTCAGGAGAGGAAGGCAGCAACTCGCTCACACTGTTTACAGTGGGGATGGGGAGCTGCTGACGTCAACTGAGGCTATAGTCGGACGGTGGAAGGAATACTTTGAGGAGCTCCTCAATCCCACCAATGCGCATTCCGAGGAGGAACTAGAGCTGGGAGGCCTGGGGATGGACTGTCCGATCTCGGGGGCAGAAGTTGCTGAGGTAGTCAAACAACTACACAGCGGCGGAGCCCCGGGGGCGGATGAGGTTCGTCCTGGGTATCTCAAGGCTATGGATGTTGTAGGGCTGTCATGGTTGACACGTCTCTACAACATTGCGTGGTCATCGGGGGCAGTTCCTAGGGAGTGGCAGACCAGAGTGGTGGTCCCCATCTTTAAGAAGGGTGACCTGAGGGTGTGTTCCAACTATAGGGGGATCACACTCCTCAGCCTCCCTGGAAAGGTCTACGCCAAGGTACTGGAGAGGAGGGTCCGATCGATAGTTGAATCTCAGATAGAGGAGGAGCAATGTGGTTTTCGTCCTGGCCGTGGAACTGTGGACCAGCTCTATACCCTTGCAAGGGTGATGGAGGGGGCATGGGAGTTTGCCCAACCAATCCACATGTGCTTTGTGGATTTGGAGAAGGCTTATGACCGTGTCCCCAGGGGCACCCTGTGGGGGACGCTCCAGGAGTATGGGGTGGGTGGCTTTCTGTTAAGGGCCATTCAGTCCCTTTACCAGAGGAGCGTGAGTTTGGTCCGCATAGCCGGTAGTAAGTCGGACCTGTTCCCAGTGAGGGTTGGACTCCGCCAGGGCTGCCCTTTGTCACCGGTTCTGTTCATCACTTTCATGGACAGAATTTCTAGACGCAGCCGTGGTGTGGAGTGTGTCGAGTTTGGTGGCAGGAGAATCTCGTCTCTGCTTTTTGCGGATGATGTGGTCCTCCTAGCTTCATCCAGCTCTGACCTTCAGCTCTTGCTGGGTAGGTTCGCGGCCGAATGTGAAGCGGCTGGGATGAGGATCAGCACCTCCAAATCTGAGACCATGGTTCTCGACCGGAAAAGGGTGGCTTGCCACCTCCGGGTCGGGGGAGAGGTCCTACCTCAAGTGGAGGAGTTTAAGTATCTCGGGGTCTTGTTCACGAGTGAGGGTAGGAGGGATCGGGAGATCGACAGGCGGATTGGTTCGGCGTCTGCAGTGATGCGGACGCTGAGCCGATCTGTCGTGGGGAAGAGGGAGCTGAGCCAGAAAGCCAGGCTCTCGATTTACCGGTCGATCTACGTCCCAATCCTCACCTATGGTCATGAGCTTTGGGTAATGACCGAAAGAACGAGATCGCGGATACAAGCGGCCGAAATGAGTTTCCTCCGTAGGGTGGCCGGGCTCAGCCTTAGAGATAGGGTGAGGAGCTCGGACATTCGGGAGGGACTCGGAGTAGAACCGCTGCTCCTCCGGATCGAAAGGAGCCAGTTGAGGTGGTTTGGGCATCTGGTCAGGATGCCTCCTGGACGCCTCCCCGGGGAGGTGTTTCGGGCATGTCCTGCCGGCAGAAGGCCCCGGGTCGACCCAGGACACGTTGGAGAGGTTACATCTCCAATCTGGTCCGGGAACGCCTTGGGGTCCTGCCGGAGGAGCTGGTGGACAAGGCCGGGGAGAGGACGGCCTGGAGCTCCCTAACTGGGATGCTGCCCCCGCGACCCGGACCCGGATAAGCGGAGGAAGACGAAGACGACGAAGACGAATGTTGGAAGGAAGGTTACAATGAAACAGATTTCATTCTTAGCCGGCTGGGGTATTTTCAGTTTTTCTCCTTTTAAAATGGCCAAACAGGGATGTAGTTGCTGTTTACAATCTGTGAACCCACAGGGTTGCAGAGTCTGTGTTGGCAAGCGCTGCTGCGCCGGCATCCGTAGTTTGACATCGGCCGGCAAAACACAGCACATCCTTAGCCAGTAACAGGAGCGACCCAGAAGTTACTGTACTTTTAAGACGAGTGGAAAAGAGTGACCAACATTGTTTTTACTGTACTTTTTTATTGTTTTTAGGAGAAAATGTAAATAAAAAACATCACAAGCATGACATTATTACATTACATAATTTTCCCGTAAAAGTCTATCACAAATGCTGTGAAGATAGCCTGAAGTGCGCCCTCTTGACACAGGGGAACAGATTTCAGGGGAACAGAATTTCTCAACACTTGTCCCGCAGTGAATCTTGGGATTTATAGAGGTGAGAAAACTACACTGTACTTGTTCTCAAAATTAGGCAAAAGAAGAATGGATTTCAAGACCATATTGAGCACTCTTTGAATTTGGACAGTCTCTGTCACGGCGCTGTGATGTCTCTGGCCTTAAAATCCAACCTCATGAGTACGCAACCCCTGAATTTAGACACAACGGCAATCTTCCCAGCTTGTTGCAGGCCTACAATTTTGTTTCTGGTGTCCTTTGACAGTTATTTGTTCTTGGCCATAGTGGAGTTTCAAGTGTGACTGTTTGAGGTTGTGGACAGGTGGCTTTTATACTGACGAGTCCCAACTGGTGCCATCAATAAAGGTAACGAGTGGGGGACAGAGAAGAAATTTCCGTTCTGTGACAGACAGAAATATTGTTTGTTTGTAGGAGACCAAATACTTATTTTCCACCATAATTTACAAATAAACTCTTTAAAATTCAGACATTGTGATTTTCTAAATTTTTTTTCTCATTTTGTCGCTTATAGTTGAGAGTAAAGCTATGAGGAAAATTACAGGCCTCTCTCATCTTTTTAAGTGGAATAACTTGTGCAATTGGAGGCTAACTAAATACTTTTTTGCCCCACTATTTCTCAAGCTACCTTTTCAATTACCAACAACTTGATATTATTGTCAAATGTATTTATCTACATATCAACTTACTGTGGATGACTCATCTTCAGTTGTTACTCAGTGTGTTTACGTGCACATCTAAGTCAATCTAAAGCAGCAAAGTGTTGGCTTAAAGCAGTAGTTCGGTTTTCTGATTCTGCATTTAAACACTCTGGTTGGTTTAATACATACAATTTCTGACATGACTTTCCTAATGATTTACTCAAGCATCTTTCATTTTTTTCCCTCACTAGATGGTGAAGCTGTGTATTGGGATGATCGATGCTGGAAAAGCCTACAATGCAGCCAACAAGCAGTTTGTTAACGGGATCCGCGAGCTGGCCCAGCAGTCTGCCAAAGATGAGGTCATCGAGGTAAACGACAAACAAACCTGATCAATCTGGGTTGTAGAAAATCCCCAAGCTCTGCTTGGATTCTGTCTCGTCTCTCATGGGCCAGGGTTCATTCAATATTATGATAATCTGTTGGGAACAGGAAGCCTCAATTAGGCAAAAGATGAGCCTGACTTCATCATTTTTTCCTACATATAGTATCCTGTACTTCCTCTTTGTTTGCATGCACTGCCCTATTTCCACTCATTAAACGTTACATTAAGTTTTAAAGAATGAGCTAACGGGACTCTGTGATGCCCTCTGCATGTTGTAAAGGTCAGATCTTTTTATTTTCCTCACATGAATTAGCATGACAAGACACATACTTCCTCTCTGTCTATGTGGTTCAACGTCTCACCCTAAAGTCTGAAATTTTACCCTAGCATGTACTTGGAGATTGAAACTCATTTCCATAAAAACTTTTATCAGTCGTACCCGAGGAGCTTTTGTTTGTGTGGTGTGATACCAAAAAGGAGTTTTCCTTTAAACAGTTTTTGTTGTGCTTTATTTTTATGTTTTTACCCATCAGAAGTGAAAAGACATGATCCCGTTCTTCTTTTCTCCCTCTCTGCTTGTGTTCATGGATTTTCTCCATTTTCTCTCCACAGTCTAGTCTCACAAAGTTTGCAGAGAGCCTCCAGGAGATGATCAACTATCACACGGTACGCTGCCAACCGGGGATGTATTGTTATTTCCCCCTACAGCTGCTGGAGGATGACAGAATCCAGATGTGCATCTAGCTCAGCTCTTTAACTGTCAAAGTTTACATTTACTGCTCCACTAGATCGAGTATTACAAAGAAGAAAAACATGTTATGTCGTAGACTCTGGCTAAGCAGAAGGAGAGTATTTATGGATAAATGTCACTGTAACAACCTGCTGCAGGACATTTCTTCATGCAAACATTGGTTGCCCTAAGAAAAAATAGTTAAACCCTGTTTGGGTATGCTACATTGTTGGGATGAATTATGCATCAGTGGGGTAAGCGTGGTCATGGTTAATGTTTTATGATGTGGTTATCATCTTTCAGAACAATTTAAGGCTTTAGAGGAGCAGTTCAAGGCTGTAGATTTGGGATTCTGTTGTTCTTAAAAGTTCTACCGTCAAACACAGGGTGATAAATATAAACGTATGTTAGCAACCAGGTCAGACTCAGTTTTCTCTTCAAGTCCCACTTTTAGATTGCTTACTTTTTGGTCTTTGGTTGGCATTAAAGTAACATTTAATAAAGAACCAGCTGTAGCCTATTTGTGTTTTTCAGTATTACAAACCCAACAGCATTGGATGCTCTAATTTCCTTAATGTCCCTTTTAGCTTATATAAGAGCTAGTGTGAGATTTTGACATTCAAACATCTCAGAACAAAAGAAAAAGGTCAGGCTTACTTCTCCTTTGTATTTACTCATATTTTAATGTGAGTAGCTCAGTCTGGTTTCAAAGGTCAAACGTTTTAAAGCAGGTAAAATAATTTAGAACCTGTGTATTTTTGTGTGTGTAATTTTTAAGCTTGTTCATTTAAAAGTTGGATAGTTCAGTAATTTTTTAGAGCAAATTATAGAATAGATGTATTTTCCTTTAAAAGGTTAATTTTGCTGACAATGTTTTCAAACCTCAAGTTGAAATGAAAGGGATGCAAATGTTCAAGATCTCTCCCTCTTTTTTTTTTTTTTTGCATTTTCACTCTTTATTTTTTTTATTTTATTTTTTTACACCTGTATCCAAAGATATTGATAACGAAATAAGAAAAATCCCACAAATGAGTACCTGATTCACTCACTCTACCTCACCAGCAGACAGACAAAGTCAAAGTCTTTTAAGGGTTTTCATATGTGCCTAAAATATGTTCATGAGTTGTTCACTTTGTCTTTGTGTCATGTTGTTTGATCATGTAGTTGGCACTGACATCTTCTCATGGTGTCACTTGATGTTTCCTGTGGTCCTCCTCTGTTGTTATGTAAGGTTGTCTTGTTCTGCACTTCCAACTCTGGTCTTGTGAGCTGGAAGTACTGGTACAGATGTTTATCATGGCAGCAGCGTTGGTGATCGGTTTAGTCATGAAGCAGGGCTTAGCCCTGAGCAAAGGGGTAGGAACAGTCAGAAAGGTGAGGAGTTATTAGTGTTTTAACATCAAACACAAAATAAAGATGAAACCACCACCAGCTCTGTTGGTCCCACTAGTCAGGTCGTTACAATGATGACACAAAATGTCACCGCAAATGGAGCAAGATGGCATCAGGTGGCACATGGTTTGCCAACAGAGGAAGATGAAAGGTTGTCAACTCAATGTCAAGTGACAACAACAGAGGAAAACAGGTTCAGCAACATGGTCCAACACAAGGGACAAAGGGATGTGGAAGAGTATATTTAGGACTATACAAGAGTACATTCCACTTTTAGCAGGTGGACAGACGTGGGGAGCTTAGCTAAGAAAGCAAGAGGAAAGTTAATTCTTGAGCTGTATGATGAACATTTTTTTTTCATGGTAACACCTTATAGGCTAATTCCATTTCTGGTTCTTTTTAAAACACAGGAAAGGTTTTTCTTTACCTTGCTGACATACGTTTCGTTTGCCGACTGCTAAACATCCTACTCCGTTTATCCGCAGGCAGTAGAGGATGTTGTCGCCCTCTGCTGCCTGCTCTCCCCTCTCCGATGATGCAGTCCCATGCGCTATCCCAATGAGTAAACTCCATCGTCTCTGTTCATGGTCCCGCATCCACATCTCCTTATCTCCATTGCTTCCTTAATCCATCTTTTGTATTTATGTTGTTCGGTGTTTATGATCCTTGTGTTGTCCCAGTCCATTATATGGTTTTCTCTTGTGCAATGATCTGTTACGGCTGACTTCTTTATTGTACTTTCTGCTTCTTGTTTTGCTGCTCTTGTGTGTTTTCGACTTGTTTCTTTCTCACACTCCTTTCTATGTTGTATTGTTCGTGTGTTGAGTTGGCGTCCGGTTTCTCCTATGTATGTTTTATTGCAGAGTTTGCATGGGATTTCGTTAACGACTCCACATTTTTGTCCAGCTGGTATCTTGTCTTTTGGGTGTACTAATCTGTTTCTAACTGTTGTGTATGTTTTTGTGGGTGTGTTTATGTTGTTTTTTCATTGTTGCTCTTATTTTTTCTGTTATGCCTTTGATGTATGGTAAGGTTATCACTGGTTTTGGTTCTTGTCTTTCTGGGTTTCTAGTTCTTTGCTTTGGTTGTTCTTTTCTTTCTGTTGTTGTTTGTTGTTTTCCTTTGTGTAATGCCCATGTCGGGTATCCGCAGGTCTTTAAAGCGTGTTGTATGTGTTTGTCCTCTTGTTTACGGTCTCTTTCTTCTGTTACCACGTTTGCTCAGTGATATAATGTTCTACTACTGACATTTTGTGTATGGTAGGGTGTTCTGATGTCCATAATAAGTATTGGTCTGTGTGTGCTGGTTTCCTGTATGTGTTTGTCCTTTTGGTATGATTTCCAGTATGTTGTCTACGTAGCGTTTCCATAACTTTATTTCACAGTTTCGGGGGCAGTGGCTATGGCTTTTTGTTCTAGGTCTTCTATGAAAAACACATCCCTGTTCACAAAAACACCAACCCAAAAAAACGTAGACATAGTAGTTAACAGAATCAGACAGGACAAAACGTTACACAAAAGAACAAACCTCACAGCAGATGACATAGCACAACTGATAGGACTGATAGCTAACTCCACTTACTTCACATACGATGACACAATATACAAACAACTGGAAGGCTTCGCCATGGGTGACCCGTTATCAGCCACCCTGTGCGAGTTTTTCATGGAAGACCTAGAACAAAAAGCCACTGCCCCCCAAAACTGCAAAATAAAATTATGGAAACACTACGTAGACGACATACTGGAAATCAAACCAAAAGGACAAACAAACACTAACACACTTGAATAACATTGACGACACAGGCAACATAAAGTTCACATATGAGACGGAAACAGATGGCAGTATGGCATTTATGGACATGAAAATAACCAGGCAGACCGACGGGACCCTAAACATAAACACATACAGGAAACCAACACACACAGACCAATATTTATTATGGACCACAGAACACCCTACCATACACAAAATAGTAATCAGAACATTATATCACCGAACCAGCATGATAACAGAAGAAAGGGACCGTAAACAAGAGGACAAAAACATGCAACACGCTTTATAGACCTGCGGATACCCGACATGGGCAGTAAACAAAGGAAAACAACAAACAACAACAGAAAGAAAAGAACAACCTAAGCAAAGAATCAGAAACCCAGAAAGACAAGAACCAAAACCAGTGATAACCCTACCATACATCAAAGGCATAACAGAAAAAAATAAGAGCAACAATGAAAAAACACAACATAAACACACCAACAAAAACATACACAACAGTTAGAAAGAGACTAGTACACCCAAAAGACAAGATACCAGCTGGACAAAAATGTGGAGTCGTTAACAAAATCCCATGCAAACTCTGCAATAAAACATACATAGGAGAAACCGGACGCCAACTCAACACACGAACAATAGAACATAGAAAGGAGTGTGAGTAAGAAACAAGTCGAAAACACACAAGAGCAGCAAAACAAGAAGCAGAAAGTACAATAAAGAAGTCAGCCGCAACAGATCACTGCATAAGAGAAAACCATATAATGGACTGGGACAACACAAGGATCATAAACACCGAACAACAGAAATACAAAAGATGGATTAAGGAAGCTATAGAGATAAGGAGACGTGGATGCGAGACCATGAACAGAGACGATGGAGTTTACTCATTGGATAGCGCATGGGACTGCATCATCGGAGAGGGGAGATCGGGCAGCAGAGGGCGACAACGTCCTCTGCTGCCTGCGGATAAACGGAGTAGGATGTTTTGCAGTCGGCAAACGAAACGTGCGTCAGCAAGGTAAAGAAAAACCTTTCCTGTGTTTTAAAAAGAACCAAAAATGGAATTAGAAACTAAACACAGTAAGAACGCATCAAAGACCTTCTAGGCTTCTATAACCCTCCAAGGCGCTCCACAACAGTCATTCATCCATGTACACACACATTCACACACTGGTGAAGATGAGCTACATTGTTGCCACTCCTGCCCTGGGACGTACTGACTGAAGCAAGGCTGCAGAACACGGGAGCTGGGATCCTACAACCCTTCAGTCATTGGGCAACCCGTTCTACCTCCTGAGCTACTGCTGCGCACATGTTAAAAGATCAGATGGGAAATCATGATGTCTCAGTAGTAGCGTCACTGTGTCTTCTGATTAGCTTTCCAGAGTTGTTTAGGAGCCACAGTGACTGTTACTCATCAGAGGGGACTGTAACCAGCTGACTGATTGCTTTTTGTCACTCAGCGGTCTTTGAGCACATGATCTGCTTCAACACAGTGCTCAATCTGTTTGTCACTGGAAGCCTTTCCCAGCCACACTGCTCACATTGTCTTGTCAACAAAATATTGCCGAAGCCCAACTTAAAGTTGTTTTTTTTTTTTTGCTGCCAAGCTGATTTTTGAGGAAGCTTGCAGGTTAATGAGGGAATGACTCATAAGCACTTACATCATTTGTCCCGTTTATGTCTTTATGAGGGGAGTTTACCAAGTCAGTGTGTTGGTGTATATTTAGCTGCTTAATTACACCCTTTAACGTCAACAAAAACTTCCCTAAACAGAGATGATGATCGCTGACTGGTGTAGACAGAAAATGTATTGAGTTTTTATGCCTTTCTCCTTTTTGATGCTCACGATGACTTGATTTTCTCCACAGATTTTATTTGATCAGGCCCAGAGATCGATCAAGACTCAACTGCAAACCTTTGTGAAAGAGTGAGTATAAAGTGGCTAAGGACAAAAAAATTGTGCTCTTGAAGATGTGAGGTTGTGTTACCAATCATGAGAAAAATTGGGATTTCTGGATGTTTTTGATGAATTATTACAAAAATCTGAAATGAAAGATTTAAAATGAGGACACAAAGTTGCACAAATTTAAATTTTGAGATAATAACTTCATATTTCAAGTTTCAGATGAGAGTTTGAGACTGCTGGCATAATTACAAGGAGCAAACACAGCTTTGGTTCATTTCATTATAAGGATTAGCAGTTTTTTCCTCGGGCTCATCAGAGTTGAACACCCACGTTATTAGCACATCTTAAGAAAAAAATTTCTTCACACTTTCTCTGTATGTAGCCTTCAAGGATGGAATAAAATCACACAGATTAAAAATTCCAGAGAAGAATGTGTCGAGCTGTCTGGGGGATTCACGGTCACAAGGTCAAATAGTTTCAGCAAATACTGTTTGGTTGTGACCTTCAGGGATATCAATTGTGCAAAGTTTTATAGAATGACCTTTAACCTTTGAAATGTTCTATTTCCGTGACTACAGTATGGTTCTGTCAAAGCTGAGATAGGCTTATCTCCCCTAACAAATCACCTTTACCCCCCACAACACTGTTGCAGATAAAAATACCATAAATCATTGCATTTCTGTTGTATCTAGATAGCCATGAAAGTTGAAGTTATTTTAAATATTTTCTGACGTGTTTCAGAATTTTTCTCTCATGGGGAGAATTTATTTTAAAGTCAAAAAGTGACATTTGACACTGGCTATTAATGGTGATTTGTAACAAGTATTGAATAAAGGTAGAGTTGTCCCAGACAGGTCAGCCCAATTCTGCTTCATGCCAAGTAGAATTAGTACAACTATGATCCAACAACAGAATATTTAAAGGTACAATACTTTTACAGCGAACTACGCACTAAACAGTCTAAGGTCTCAATCATGTTGGAATGAAGTTTAGATTGAAAGTTACACATTTACTTCTCAGCTGGCTGGGGGATTGTCAGTTTTTCTCCTTTTAAAAAGGCTTCAAAGGCCTCACAGGGACATGGTCATTGTTTACAATCTGTCTCGTCTCAATTGACCCTTTGCACCTACGTCACCTGACCACGTGGGTCCACCAATGGAGGGCAAAAGCATAGTTACAGGATACGTGAGCAACACGGGTACAAAAAATTGGGAAAAGTAGAACCTGAGATTGTTTTTGGGTTGTTATTTTTTGCAATCTTTAGCATGTCTTCAGCTAGTTGAAGCCCAGTTCAGAAATCGCAAGCAATCAGTGGGGCACTGGGGCACTGGACTGGACTCTTTTGTCTTTATACATGAACTGCAGTACCCAAATCTGACCACAATATGTCAGTCTTACACTGTGCATCTTTAAATACTAATTCATTTTTAAAAATTTGAATTGGCGGGGCAGTCAGACCATCATAGATGGTCCCCTCCACAGAGCTGTGATAGCACCATCTCCCTGCTGAACGAGCTGAACACCTTTTTTGCTCGCTTTGAAGTGCAAAACGGTACCACAGCACAGAAGATTCCACCTCCTCCTGGTGACCAGGTGATGACTGTCCCCGGACAGCATAAGGAGATCCCTTAGCAGGATCAATGCACGTAAAGCTCCGGGTCCTGATGATATTCCTGGCCGGGCACTGAGAGACTGTGCAGTGGAACTAACTGATGCCTTCACAGACATTTTCAACACATCATTTATCCAGGCTGTCATCCCCACGTGCTTTAAAGCCACATCAATTATTCCGGTCCCAAAAACATCTCCCTCCTGCTTTAATGACTACCGTCCTGTTGCACTTACTCCCATCCTTATGAAGTTAGTCATGCAACACATCAAGTCTGTTCTGCCCCCCTGCCTGGACCCCTTCCAGTTAGCATAACGGTCCAACCGCTCGACCGATGACACCATCTCCACTGCACTCCACTCAGCTTTCACACATCTGGACAAAAAAGACTCATATGTCCGAATGCTGTTCATAGACTTTAGTTCAGCATTCAACACCATCATCCCCCAACAGCTTACTCAAAAACTGGTCCAGCTGGGTCTCAACACCTCACTGTGTAACTGGCTGTTGGACTTCCTCACTGGAAGACCACAAGCAGTACGGGTCGGCAGAAACACATCCAGCACCATCATTTCAAACACGGGGGCCCCTCAGGGATGTGTGCTGAGCCCCCTCCTCTTCACTCTGCTGACCCACGACTGTACACCATTACACAGCTCTAACCTCTTCATCGAATTTGCAGATGATACAACAGTGGTGGGTCTCATAAACCACGGGGATGAGACAGACTACAGGAACGAGGTGAGCCGCCTTACCACATGGTGTGCTGACAACAACCTCTCTCTAAATGTGGAGAAGCCAAGGAGATTGTTGTGGACTTAAGGAGAGCACACACTCAGCATGCTCCTCTGACCATCGACTGTGTGTCTGTGGAGAGAGTGAGCAGCACCAAGTTCCTGGGTGTGCACATTACAGAGGATCTCTCCTGGACGAACAACACCATAGCATGGGCTAGGAAATCACTGCAGTGTCTCTTCTTCCTCCGCAAACTAAGAAGAGCAAGAGCACCAGCCCCCATCCTGTACACTTTCTACAGATGCACCATCGAGAGCATCCTGTCGTGCGGCATCACAGTGTGGTTCGGAGCCTGCAACGTTTCCTGCCTTAAAACCCTCCAACGTATAGTGAGAGCAGCAGAGATCATTGGGGTCTCTCTCCCCTCCCTACCAGACATTTACAGCACCTGCCTCATATAAAAGGCCCTTTGCATTGCGGCTGATCCCACTCACCCAATGCAAAGCCTCTTCGAGCTGCTGCCATCAGGGAGGAGACTGCGGAGTCTCAAGGCCAGGACCAACAGACTGAAGGACAGCTTTATCCATCAGGCAGTTAGGAAGCTAAACTCCCTCCTGGCTCTCCCCCCTCTCCTCTCTTTCCCCCCACAGTCTCTCTGAACTTGGTTACTCTTTTTATACTAAATGGTTATTTTCTATCTAGCGAGAGTTTGAGAGTAACGTAATTTCATTTCTCTGTATGTCCTGTACATGTGGCAGAACTGACAATAAAACTGACTTTGACTTTGATTGAGGTAAAAAAAAATCTTATTTCAGACAACTAATTGTGTAACGTTTTTGACCTGAGCCTATAACAAACTTGTCAAACTCAGAGTAACTTTCCTGTTTTAACTTTTGCCCACATGGCCAATCATTCCACAGCTGCCACCTAAATATTCTGTTATATGTTTTAGAGGTGAAATAAGATTCTTCTTTAACAAGGAACCATTTCTCTCTCCTTTCTTTATCAGTGACCTTCGCAAGTTCAAAGAGGCCAAGAAACAGTTTGACAAAGTCAGCGAGGAAAAGGAGGCAGCACTTATCAAAAACGCTCAGGCTCCCCGTAACAAACAGCATGAAGTGGAGGAGGCAACAAACATCCTCACCGCCACACGCAAGTGCTTCCGACACATCGTCCTCGACTACGTCTTACAGGTACAAGGCCTCTGCTGGTTTTAAACTGAACATTCTGTAAATGGCAGCGATAGACCAGGGAACAGATTGTTTCTGATGTAAGAAAGATGTTGCAGAACCATTTTACAGAACATCGTCTTCCTGAAAGTGACGCAGCTTCTGAGATTTTGAGATTGTGACAGAAATTAAGAAGAAGAAGAATAACGTTTAAAACCCCTTAGTCACAAGATGATTAGAAAGACCAGGGATAAACAGAAATGTTAGTTTCTTTTTGATTTATATACTTTTTTTGTTTTATACTTAACTGGGCACTTGTAATAATTAGTATGAAATATTAGTAGTTATCTTCCCATGATATAACAAAACTATGTTGCCTACATTTTTTTACACTCATAGCCACTAAAGTCTTGATAAACTAGGACACAGCATTAATTTAGAAAAGTAATTGAGGTATCCCACCCACTCACGTTGATGTCAGTTTTGACACCACTAAGACTTACATATCCGCCTGCACTGATGGAGGATATAAAAGTAATGGCTTCTGTCATATTATTCCTGCCAACATGATGTTTGGTAAGGCGCAGGAAAAGAGACATGACTAATTTCTTCATTATTTCTGTCACCAAAATTAAGTTAAAGAGGAAATTTAAAAGGGGAAGCATCCAGGAGAACAGCTAAAGGTCCATAAATATGAAAACACAAAAATAAAAGAACGATTGCTTATTATTGTTGTTGTTGTTATTTTTATTATTATTGTTGTTGTGACTAGTTTCTTTTTCCGGCAAATGAAATCTAAGTAATTCTTTAAAGGCTTGTACTCTAACTTATTTACAGGTTGGTAAATAAATCAGCCGTGTCTCCGAATAACAGCAGCAGTGTCTAATTAATCAGCTTCCATATTTATTCCATCCACCCATCCATTTTCAGCCGCTTATCCAGAGTTGGGTCACAGGGGCAGCAGCCTAAGCAGAGAGGCCCAGACTTCCCTCTCCCCAGCCACTTGGGCCAGTTCTTCCAGGGGAATCCCAAGGCGTTCCCTGGCCAGCCGAGAGACATAGTCCCTCCAGTGTTTCCTTGGTCTTCCCTTGGGTCTCCTTCTCATTGGACGTGCCCAAAAAACATCACCGGGGAGGTGTCCCTGGGTGTCATCCTGACCAGATACCCGAGCCAACTCAACTGGTTCCTCTCTACGTGGAAGAGGAGCCAGTCGTATCAAAGGGCCTGGTGTCTCTAACTCCTGGAGTACCCCCCACAAGGCCCCCCAAGGGACGCAGTCGAACGCCTTCTCCAAATCCACAAAACACTTGTAGATTGGTTGGGCAAACTCCCACACACCCTCCAGGACCCCCCCCCCCCCCCCCCCCCCCCCCAAAGGGGTAAAGATCTGGTCCAGGGTTCCACAGCCAGGATGAAAACCACATTGATCCTCCTGGATCCGAGGTTCGACAATCCCACGGACCCTCTTCTCCAGAACTGCTGGATATACCTTACCAGGCAGGCTCAGGAGTGTGATCCCCCTGTAGTTGGAACACACTCTGCGCCCCCCCCCCCCCCCCCCCCCCCCCCCCCCTTTAAATATGGGAAACACCACTCCACTCTGCCAATCCAGTGGAACTTCCTCCAATGTCCACGCGATACTGCAGAGCATCAACCAACACAACATTCAGAGCCTTGAGGAACTCCAAGCTGATCTCATCCACCCCTTGGGGCCTTGCCACCGCGGAGCTTTTTGACCACCTCATTGATCTCGGCCCCAGGTCCAACCCAAAGTACCAAGGCTCCGCTTCTTCACTGGAAGATGTGTTGGTGGGGTTGAGGAGGTATTCGAAAAATTCCGCCCACCAGTCCACAATGTCCAAAGTAGAGGTCAGCAGCACACCATCACCACTGTAAACCATGTTGGTAGTGCACTGCTTTCCCCTCCTGAGGCGCTGGAAGAATAGAATAGTGAGTCCCCAGTGAGTCGTGGCGGATGGCTGCTTTTACTGAGCCAGGATCCTCTGGAGGTTTCTTCCTGTTAAAAGGGAGTTTTCCTCTCCACTGTCACTGCATGCTTGCTTAGTATGAGGATTGCTGTAAACTCGATGCAATTTGCTGGGTTCCTTATATAGGAAACTTTTTTTCTGATTGGCTTAATGAATCGACCTGTATTGGAATGTTTATAATGTGAAGTGCTTGTCGTGATTTGGCGCTATATAAATAAACTTGAATAGAATAGACTTTATTGATCCCAAAGTGGAGAAATTTACTTGTTACGGCAGCAACAACACTTAAGAGAATATTTTGCAGAAAAATAATAACAAAGGTACAACTAGCCCAACTATATCTAGCTGTAACCTCTCAACCTCAGACACCAACTCCGGTTCTATCCCTACCAGAGTGGTGACATTCAACGTACCAAGAGCTTGTATTCAATCAATTTCCCTCTGGGATTAATAAAGTATTTTTTAATTGAATTGAATTGAACTGAATTTGTAGCCAAGGATCAGACAGTCAAGGTCCCTTCCTTTGGTTACCACCCAACCCCTTTGGCCCCTCCCACGAGTGGTGAGCTCATGAAAAGGGGGACTCACATCTTCTCTTTGGACTGTGCCTGGTTGGACTCCATGGATAAAAGCCCAGCAGAGCATTAAGCTTCAGACAACTTAGCTCCTAGGATCATTGGCACACTCAAACCCCTCCACCATGGTTAGGTGGCAGCCCAGGGGAGAGGTTCCGTATTTTGTGTTGAATATCTTTTTCAAAAGAGCAAAAATGGCCCCAAAATCAGATTGATAATAAAAATAGACTATGTTCAGCTTCAATTCAGTTTATTTAAATTCAGTTTATGTAGTGCCAAATAAATGAGTCCAAATCACACATAATCACTTTACAATGAGAGGAGGCCTGACTGAGAGGAATCAGGAATATCTTTACTAGCTCAGCTGATTTAAATGAGCCCTCTTTTAGAGCTTCACATTTGCTTAGTGCTGTCAGCACTTTTGAAAGAAAGCAGCTAACAGCTGCAGCTGTGCTCACAGGAGACATTTAAAAGCAATTTTAGCTTTATTTTCTTAGAATATTTTTTGCTGTAATTTTGCATAATTCCATCGTCCGTAACATGCAAGTCAGTAGAAGGAAAGATAAAAACTCCAGACTTGCATTAACAATGGAGGTACGCTCTTTTACGATTTTAATTCATGTAAAACTGCAAAAACATGATGCCTCAAAAATTCAAGAGTTGTTTTTTTTCCAAGACCTTTCGGGTTTATAGAAAATCAATCAGTAAATCAGTAAAACCTGATTTAAAACCCTTTCCCCTTCCATCCTAAGAGAATGGATTTATCACAACTAAACATCTAATTACTGGCTAATTGACTGCAACCTTGGCCTGTGGCTGCTGTCCTGACCCTGTATTGCACCCATCTGTCTAAACGTCCATTGTTTGGTGGTGCAGCTCCGGTCACGGCTCCTGAAAGTGATCAAAAGATCTAAGAGGCGTGTGAAAGTTGGGATGCATCAGCTACTGTGGCTTTGAGATATAAAAAACTGAGCTCCCTCTGAGTCCAGATTGCTTTTGGATGCGTGGTCAGTACAACTCGAAGCTATGAAATTACAGCCGCCCACATAAAGGGATTCAGACTTTTGTTCTCTGACACACCGAATTAGGGCGACGCTGCTTTGGTGACCACAAACATTTCCTGAACCGTTCAGAGATTCCCTTAATTTTTATAGCATCACAACACCTACTGGTGCCTCTCTGTTAAAACGCGAGAATCAACATCTTTGTTCAACATCCTGCTTAACTCATCCCTCCTCTTCAAGAACAACCTTGAATGGTCTCCCCCTTGGGCCTGATGAGCAGCACAATCTGCTTCACACACACAAATAAGATAGAACATGAAAAGGGCTTTATATTCTGAAGCTTGCTGCTCCCTCTGGTGGTTGAAAGATGAAGCGCTACCAGGAAAAGATTGGAGTGATAAAAAAAATCACTTTTACATGTTTTATTGTAAAGTTTATTTTAGTCCTGGAACTTTTCTGTCATCTTTCTAAATGCAAATTTCTCCTTGAGGTCTCTTTGCATTTGTAAGTTTTTTTCCTGTTGTATTTTTTTTTTTTTTGCAATTATCCCCATTGCTTACAGTTTATGTGTCATTTACAGATAAATGTTCTACAGTCCAAGAAAAGGTCTGAAATCTTGAAATCAGTAAGTCTAGTTCCTGATGGCTTTGAAACAAGTCAAGTTAAACATGTGTGGGTCTGTTTAGAATAACCACTGTCCTCTCTGTAGATGCTGTCCTTCATGTATGCCCATCTGACCTTCTTCCACCAAGGTTATGACCTCTTTAGTGAACTGCAACCGCTGATGAAACAGCTGGGCGGACAGGTACGAGCCACTTCCTTTATTGATCAGTTGAGTTTGGAGCTGTGTGTGTACTCTGGGAAAAGTGCCTCCCCTCTGAGCCAGAATGTGGCCCAAATGTGACTTTTAAGATGATTATCACACCAGAGCTGCTGGAAAGAGGAAACTAAAACAGTCGGAAGGCTTGAACAGGGTTTTCCCACAGGCAGACTCACAGGCATGTCAGTCAGCTGAGTGAAAACGGCAAGAAAACTCTGACTGATGCTTTAGCTTGTGTCAAATCTGAGGCTTAAATGGGCGGAGTAGCTCTCGATGGCGTACGAGGAAGACAGGCAAGTTAGTCCCAGAGTGGGGATAGTTTAGAGCAGCTAGTAAACATTTTTATGATGTTTGAACCAGATAACATACGAGTAATGAGGTTTTATTTAGGGGGGAGAAAATTTGTTTTTGGCAAAGCTGAAGAAGTGAATTCTCTAAATTGTACTGGAGAGAAGAGGATTGTATTTTTACCCTCAGCCTTCATAGCTGGACACATCTGATGGTGATACCTAGACGCTGACAGATAAAGAGAGAAGAAAGGAGGGAAGACGAGAGCAGCTTTGAAAGACAGATTGTTTTAGGGGACGAGTGGCAGATCGTGATCATTTCCAAGACTAAAAAATGGGACGGAACTCAGCGGCGAAGGCACGGACTCTAAGCCCCAGACTCCGCTTCTCAAAGAACTGATGGCAAAGAAGCTTGGGTTTGTTGGAGAATTGCAAGAGAGAATTAAAGAAGACTATTTCAGAAACTAAACGTCAAAGAGGGAGGGGAAAGAAGATGGAGAGCTGGTTTCAAACTGACTACGAATTGCTGTGGATTACAAGCATGTCACGCTGAGTTTGGAAGAAAGCAAGAGGAGAGGAAGATCAGAGACGGAGCTGTGGGAAGCAGCAACAAGAGGATTGTGTGTTTTTTTTATCTGTTCTCCATCATGAAGTTAAAGAAGGTGGAGAGGCTGTGCAGGGAAGTGTGGAGGAGCTGTCAACAGGTCTGGTAATACAACACAATACCTGTGCCCAATTAAAACAATAATCAAGAGTGGGAATGTTTGCTGATGTCAAAACTAATACTCTGAGCTTTGGGGGTTTGAGTCCAAGTTAAATTTTTCATTTTGAATTGATTACATGATAGACAAGAAAAATAATGATTGACTGATTTACAGTGATTAATGTCTAAGGTGCTTTTTTCTGACACGAGTGGAACTGGTTCAGCTACATCTAAATATAGGATCTCATTCTGGTTGTATATTCTGACACTGAACCTTGTGACTGAACACATGACTCTGGAGAACGTCTTTCGTCTTCTGCGTGAATCATGAACCTCATCATTGTAGTTGAAGGATGTGAGCAGTGTGTCGTTGAGTACATCATGAGGAGGGTTTCTGCTGAAACTATGAAAGAAAGTTTGACAGATGTTTAGGAAGAGGGAAAAGAAAACACACACCTGCCTTTTCATAGTAATGGGACTGATGGCATGGTCCAGACTGGATGAGCAGTCACCGGACCACAGGGAAAAACATTTCCCATCTGATGTTATCAGCTGCTGCTTGCTCACCCACCCATTTCCGTTCTTAAAAAAAAAAAAAAAACTCAAATTCAGTTTTCTCTAAAACGGTCAGATCACATTTGTGAAGGTTTAGTCATGTTTATACGTTGTGTTGCCTGTATGGCTACATCTAGAATGTATTTGTCTTCTAAAGCAAACAGATTTAACCTATGGAGGTGCTTTCAGGTCTTTGTACAGGTTTAAAAAACAAAAAATTGATTAAATATTAAACTACACTCTGTTTTTTCTTTTGTTAATTTTGAGACCTGTTTCCATTGTCCGGACTTCAGGGTCATTTTACTGGAACTTGCCCCCCCCCCCCACCTCACCGGGTGGGGGGGCAAGTTTACCGAGCCGGCCGAACAAGCCGTTTACCGAGCCATTTTCAGGAATCAATGGAGTACTTTAACAGGGGTAGACACTCGGAATACCCCCACAGAGTGACTGAGCAGAACGTTTGGTTAACTCACGCTGATTGGTTGTAACTCAGTAAGAAATGACATCAACAGACATTGTTCAGACATGTTTCAGGCAGTTGGAACAACAGCAGCAGTTGTTGTCTGCAGGTTTCTGATGAACCCTTCTCATCTCTCACTCACATGGACCCTGCACCCCTGCCAAACACTGACCTCTGATCAAATACAGACTCTTGTGTGTGAGGCTGCAGACATGCTGATTTAGGTCATGCTGCAGCATCAAGAGACCTAGTTAAGAATTTCACTGCTGTAAGGCAAACTGGCACTTTTTCAGCGACACCCTTTGAACCCAAGATCCTTTAAAAAATTTGTTTCCTTCTTCTCTGCTCAAAAGGGCCTTTGTGTTCTTCCTTACATGCATGTAAGGAAGACAGGAATCATTCATCTCTCCACAGCTTCACACGTGGAAAAAATAAATCCATTTATAAAGAGGAGATGGTTTGTTTTTTTATTTGACAAAGACAAACTTTTCATCTTCCAGTCTCAACTGACCCGTCACACCTCTTGTTTCTCAGCTCAGTTTTCATCACTGAATTTAGATCATTTTGGCTGAAAGAAGCTTTGCATGAGCAGTCAGTTTGGTGAGCCTGACTAATTTGTTGTTCCGTCTCTTGCAGTTGGACCAGCTGGTGGTCGATGCTGCCAAAGAGAAAAGGGACATGGAGCAGAAGCACTCCACCATCCAACAAAAGGTGCACACACACACACACACACAAACACACACACACACACATACACACACACACAATTTCCTTGTCATCCTTTTGTTTTAGGCAAAAATGTTCCAGTTGCATCCAAACCAAAAAAAAAAAAATCCATCACATAAATAGCATTTGGTACACAATCTGAGACATAATTAGCATAAAATAACAACTTTTCTCTAAGCTGAAAACACATTTCCATATAAAATGTGTTCATTATAAAGAGCTTCATCATCCATAGATTTATTTAATGTCTGTTAAGTTCTCTTGCTTTCGTCTTGAGTGTGTGTGTGTGTGTGTGTGTGTGTGTGTGTGTGTGTGTGTGTGTGTGTGTGTGTGTGTGTGTGTGTGTGTGTGTGTGTGTGTGTGTGTGTGTGTGTGTGTGTGTGTGTGTGTGTGTGTGTGTGTGTGTGTGTGTGTGTGTGTGTGTGTGTGTGTGTGTGTGTGTGTGTGTGTGTGTGTGTGTGTGTGTGTGTGTTATGTGAGTGAATGGAGGTAGTACTCCAGCATCAGGTGTAAGATGAACCTGCAGGAGGTTCTCAGCTATGTACACATGCATTATTGACAGCTGACAAACTAGGTTCAGTTTCAGCGCGCTAACTCTTCCCACACATCCCTCCTAGCTTCGACAAGTTATATTTAAACATTTTCATCATGGATTTAGACTCATTTATGCACATTTCACCAGAGTGTTTTTATTCTGACCTCTAAACTCTTTGCGAGCTCAATGAGTGATGATTAACTTTATTTGTAAGTCACACGTCAGCATTAACAGCTGTAGTCTCAGCGTCTCTCTGCCTGTCACTGGCATTGGTTTTATGACGCCCTTTATGTTTTCTGTTCTGTTTTTTTCCCTCCATCTTCTACATCTGTGTTTTCCTCTCATCCTCTGCTCTCCCTTCTCTCTAGTTTAGTCAGATGGTATGTGCTCCAGCTTCCAACTTTCCTACTCTCTGCCTCCACTCCCTCATTTTAGCTAGATGCTATTTTTACATTCTCTCAGTGCTGTCCATCTGTCTGCATCCACACAGACACGTCTAACCAACTGTCTCCTCTTTTCCTTTTCTTTTGTTCTTTCATCTTTTCTTCTGCTAACCCTAGGCCGCCCTGCAGGTAAGCTGTGCTGCTTTTCCTGGTTTTAACTCTCTCTCCCTCTTTGTCACTTCTCTGTAGTATCTGCATTAGTGTGTTGGACACTCGGCTGTCCAAGGTCAGACTCATTTCTGCTGCTCACATCATCTCTGGTGAGGCACCAGGGAGCTGGATGATCACAAGAGATGATATGATGCCATGATTTCATGGGCATGCTTGCTCTTGTGTATGTTGTTGTTGTTGTTGTTGAGCTTATTCATTTTATTGATGAACCAACTCTTAGCATATTGCCCTAATGCACATTACCTAACATAATTGGCTCATACTCTGGCGGGTTCAGTTACCCACAGATAGTAATCAGCCTTTTTAATTGTGGCTTCTAATAGAGGTCGACCGATTTTGGTTTTTCTATTGCTGATACCGATGCCAATATGTAGGGGACACGGTCAGCCGATATCCAGACGTTTTCCACCTTATTTTCATGCTGAAATGTCATCAATAACATTGGTTGATGCACACAATTGCCAGTACTTAATTTTTGAAATGTGGAGGTGTCACAAGTTTGGTTTTGCTTCTTCAGTTTTCTCTTTCTTTGGCTTTTTATTCATTTATTTATTTAATTCAGTGGGTCCATGATGGGTTTTTGAAGTCTTAATTTAACTAACTGTTAATTCTTAACTTTGTGCACTGCTCAGTGTTAGAGTCAGACACCTAATTATTACGTAGATGTTATTAGTGAACATAAACATACATTTCAGTAAATTCTGCAACAGAATCGGGCTGCCAAGGATGTGCCTGATTTTAAATCAACTTTACTAAGGACACATATCGGTCCCATATATCTGTCTACCCCTAGTTTCTAGTTGAAAAATGATGGAATATTTAGTGCCCCTGGCAAGATCAAGACGCTTCTTCATAGCTAACAATTGTCTCAAATATTTTCTGTTTTAGGTTCATCATTAAATTACTTGACCACATTTTTTGAGGAAGCATTTTTCCCAAAGATCTAATTATTCCCAGTAGTTCAGCTTACAGAAATCACACGTGGAGCAGGACAAAATCTTTAATATCAGGTATATGGGAAATCTGCACAGTGGCACAGTGGTTAGAGCTGTTGCCTTGCAGCAAGAAGGTCCTGGGTTCGCTTCCCGGCCTGGGATCTTTCTGCATGGAGTTTGCATGTTCTCCCTGTGCATGTGTGGGTTCTCTCCGGGTACTCCGGCTTCCTCCCACAGTCCAAAAAACATGACTGTTAGGTTAACTGGTCTGTCTAAATTGTCCTTAGGTGTGTGTGTGCGTGATTGTTTGTCCTGTGTGTCTCTGTGTTGCCCTGAGATGGACTGGCTCTCTGTCCAGGGTGTACCCCGCCTGATTGCCCATTGACCGCTGGAGATAGGCACCAGACCCCCCCCCCCCCCCCCCCCCCCCCGCGACCCTACCTGGACAAAGCGGGTTCAGACGATGGCTGGAAGGAAGGAAGGGAGGAAGGGAAGGAAGGAAGGAAGGGAAGGAAAGAAGGAAAGAAAAGATTTGTGTCCAAAGGATCAACCAAAATAATACAGATTTGTTCAAAATATACCTCCAAGCAACCAAAGAGCTGCTTCACACTCGGCTGCGAACCGCTCCAGCAAAAGCTGAAGATCACGTTCTGATGAAGCCAACAGGACCACATCATCTGCAAAAAGCAGAGACCTGATCCTCAGGCTACCAAAACCACACCTTGGCTGCACCTAGAAATCCTGTCCATAAAGGTTATGAACAGAATCTGTGACAAAGGGCAGCCTTGGCGGAGTCCACCTGTCACTGGGAACGAGCCCGACTTACTGCCGGTGTCGGTACAGGATCTGCTCAGGTGCAGGATCGGCTCGGGGTCCTTCGACTGCTGATGACATCAAAGTAGTTGGTTGACTGAACAAGAAGCTTATGGAAGTATGATTTTGATTGGTCAGAACAAATTTGCGGTCATAGTCTTAGCGGTTGTAGTCCAAAAATCAACACTTTTTGGAGAAAATGTTTGAATTTCTAAAGGAAATGTCAAATATAAGCAAATGATAAACGGTGACCCTCAAAAGCTCTTGATGTTGATGAAATGGGGCAAAATAAAATATAAGAACTTTATTGAAAGACACCAAGCAATATTTTGAGTCAAAGAATGCATTTAGATAACAACTAAGGAAATTTACAGACGAACTCCACATTAATACAAACAGATGTGGTTTCACATATAAGAACTGTTCTATTTTTTTGTCAGTCCAATGTTGGTTTTATGCAGTTTCACATTCTTTACAAAACAAAGATAATCGTCTTCGTCTTCGTCTTCCTCCGCTTATCCGGGTCCGGGTCGCGGGGGCAGCATACCAATTAGGGAGCTCCAGGCCGTCCTCTCCCCGGCCTTGTCCACCAGCTCCTCCGGCAGGACCCCAAGGCGTTCCCGGACCAGATTGGAGATGTAACCTCTCCAACGTGTCCTGGGTCGACCTGGGGGCCTTCTGCCGGCAGGACATGCCCGAAACACCTCCCCAAAGATAATATGGTGCTTTATTAACAAATTACAATGATAAAGAAAACATTTATGTGTTAACAAACAAGAATTTATTAACAAAACTGCTGATGTCTTTCCAAAACGTATGTGTGAAAGCCGAGTAGATTTGCAGTAATGTGACGTCATCGGCAGTCGAAGGACCCCGAGCCGATCCTGTACTGACACCGGCAATGCGGACCAAGCTCTGACACCGGTCATACAGGGATCTAACCGCCCATATCAGAGGGCCTGGTACCCCCCTTAAATAAGAGAATCACCAACCCGGTCTCCCAGTCCAATTGGACTGCCCCTGATGTCCAAGCGATATTGCAGAGCCGCGTCAGCCAACACAGCCCTACAACATCCAGAGCCTTAAGGAACTCCAGCCGGATCTCATCCACCCCTGGAGCCTTGCCACAGAGGAGCTTTTTAATCCACCTCAGTGACCTCAACACCAGAGATTTGAGAGCCCAACTCAAAAGTTTTATTCAGGTATATTTTTAATGACACTTAATTTTTAGGTTGATCCCTTTGGCACAAATGTTGTCCTATAAAGACATCAGTGTAAAAAATCCAATCTTGACCAGATCTTTGACTTTACGCTTATCAGATACATTTTTACAATTGAATTGTTTATGTTCCTAAAAGTCCGAGAGCTCGTTTTAGTTTGAAATTGTATTTTACAAGTGTCTCTGTCAGTTCTGTCCATTTATAGTTGTGTTCTCTTTAAAGTACTCCTTGTCTTCATTTTGCTGATGAAACGTTTCTTCCCTATGTGAGTTAAAGGGTCCTGAGGGTGTGTTTAGTATGCTGCCTCTCTGCCTGTGTGCATTATTCAGCAGAAACACTGAGACAAGAGATCATGACCGAGTCACATTGGCTTTAGGAAACCTGCTGACTCGAGCATTTGTTAGATTTGTAAGGAAGAAATTCCTTTTTGAAACAACTACCAATTTCTTTTTAACTAAGTTTAAGTTCTAGTTTTCTCACATAAAAGCTCAGGTTCCTCACATTTTCATCACGCTCAGTTGAGTTAAAGGAAAAGCTGAAGTAGTTCATAAATATTTTATGATCAAACTCCTCCTCATTGTCCATCAAATTATTCTCACCCAGCATCCAAACCAGCATCACGCACGCACGCACGCACGCACGCACGCACGCACACACACACACACACACACACACACACACACACACACACACACACACACACACACAGGTGACTAGCTTAGAGCATGAGTCCGCTGGAGGAGGCGCAGTAGCTGAGGCTGTGATGGAAAGAGTGACTGTGTGGTGAAGGTTTGTGGAAGGGACGGGCCACGCTGCTCCGAGCGACTTCGGCCACCGAGATGCTGCACAGCAAAGCTTTTAGACTCTGATTGTTTATCCAGAGAGCTGACCCACACATTCGAGTTAGCTCACAAGCAACAGTTGTGACAAATGAAGATTTTCAGCCGTTTCCACTATGTTTGGTATCTGGTGAGTGCATCTAAAACAAACTCCCTGTTGGTTTTTAGCGTCAGTGCATGAGCAGTTGTCACATGTTTGGTTTTGCTTCTTTTGCTTTCTCTTTCTTTGGCTTTTTATTCTTTTGTATTTTTTTAATGGGTCCATGATGGAGTTTTCAGTGTTGGCATCAGGAAATTCTCTTTTCCTGTTCTTTACGTGGTTCTCTTGATGTGTGTGTGTGTGTGTGTGACGTTTTAGGAGGTGACAGAGGTTGACTTGTTACCAGACTGCCGCAGCTTTTGTGCCTGGAGGTCGACCTCCGTACGTAGTCGATGCATTGATTCCCACCTGATTTGTGTGTTGTAACTCCACTCTCCTTGTTCTTTTGTCTTGTCTTTGGCTCATGATGAGAGACTGCATTGCAGTGTGTAGATATTTGCACCTTTGTTACCTCTTAAACACATGCATCAGTGTTGATGTCTTGGTATTGCTGCATGTCTTTAGTGTCTGTAACGGGAAAGTTTGACTTGCTGGTTTGGTGCCTGATTGGTGCGTTGTTGTGATGTTGCTGCTCATCATCAGCCCGTGAATCTTTCCATCTCCTTTTGTGTCATAAGTGATTCAGGAGCTATGAGCAGCGTTAAAGTTTGACCTTGTTTCCAGGCTCTTGTTTCAGGTCAAAATATTTACAAAATGTGACATGTTTACAAAAGCTTCATAATTAAAAGGATTTAGATTGCTTTTGGTCGTTTGTAGTGTATTTGTAGGCGTAATAGACCATATATAACTTACAATTGGCAAGTTTCATTTTATATTGTGTTGTCTTTAAAAGGGATTTCTAAATGTTTGAGCTGCTGCATTTAGAAATCTAAAACAAACAAGTGCCTTTGTTTCAGTTTTGCAGTGAAAAAAGAGCAAAACTTGTTCTGCTTCCATTTGTATTTCAGTACAGACATGAACACAAACTTTGAGAAGTGACAATCAAGGTTCAAGGTGCTTTATTTGATCAAAAACAGGATCAGGACACAAAGAGGACTATGCAGAGATAAATCGGAAGAGATAGATAGTTATGGTTAATTCCAATAAGTCTGATGTGATATAATATTAATGTGAAATGGAGGCTGAGGTGAAGCTTCAGCATCAATAACGATGAAGCAAAATGTAAATTAATCCTTGGGATTCAGAATCAGTGTAGGCATGCATTTAATGCTAAACAGAACAGGTCACTCATGTCAGGCGTGTTGGATGCATAAAATAGGTTATTTAATATGGCTGACATGAGTGACTTGTTCTGTTATTTTAAATAACAAAAATGTATAAGCACCCTGTGTTGATCCTTCTTCTAGTTTCCGATCCTAGGAATGTGTTTATCTGAAATCTTTGTGTTTAGCATTTAGCTTTCCAGGAAGTAAACAGGAAGTAGGGGTCATTGTGACCTCGCTGAATCGCTGAGGTCGTTTCCAGCTGACAAATGGAATGAGATATTTTACTCACTCAAGTCTGTTTGATGCTTTCAGTAAAAGTCAAAGCTCACATACGCAAGCTATGCTATTATCATGAATCTTCTTAAAATTAAACTAAATATTTTGTTGTTGCATTTTAATTCAGAGCAAACTCACGACAAATGCTGCTTTGACTTAATTTTACGAGTACTTTGGCATGAGTTAGGAAAACCTCGTAGATGTTTCTGGAAAGATAGGACGATGCCTCTGATCGTCACGGTAACAGATCTCTCTACATCAGGCTGTAATTACTTGAGGAGACGCTGGCGCTGAGTGTAAACTGACTCCCAGAAGGACACACACTGTTGCAGATCACTGTGCATCATGTCGCTTGAAGGTGAAGGAGTGTGTGTGAAGGTTTGTGGGAAGGAGCGTGCATGCGTGCGCCCAAATGGACCGACCCATGAAGTCACATGAGGTTGAATTACAGCGGAGCTGCTGACTCACCGAGGAAGAGGATGTGTGATAACTCTTTAGTAAACCTTCTGTTGTGTAAAAATTTATTATAACACCATGTTTATTAAAAATTCATTGGCTGAATTTAGGAAATCCTTCTAGGACTCATATGTTGTTATTTTCTTCAATATCAATCTTCAAAAAATTAAAATAGTCAGCACTTGTTACTGAATCTGTTTCTAGTGTTTAGTTCAGAAGCGAGTAAACTAAACCATTTATATTAATTAGTGCAATACAAACGACACCTGTAGTGGACTATAAAGGTGTAAATATACACTTTTGGCTATGTTTGAGGGACATAGTTGTTACATGATCATTATTTAAAATAATGCAATTTATTATACTGGTTTGATGTTTTTATCTATTCTCTTTTTCTCTCTCTGTTTTGGTATCAGGATTTTTCAACTGATGACACCAAGCTGGAATACAATGTGGACGCTGACAATGGCATCGCCATGGAGGGTTATTTGTTTAAGAGGGCCAGTAATGCCTTCAAGACGTGGAACAGGTGTTGCCTTTATACCTTATGATTACTTTGAAAGTCAGCTTACAGTAGTTGCTTATTGCTTAGGTGGCTTTAAGTGTGTTCTTTACTGTGCTTTGTTTAAATTGTGACTTTTTGATTTGGAGAGTTGGAGATTGGTGCAGTTGGTTCCACGCTGCATCAAAACTTTGTCAAAAACAGTTGTTTTTAGTGTCTAAACCGGACTAGTTTCTCCAATAAACATGTGATCTCCTTTCAGACGTTGGTTCTCCATCCAGAACAATCAGCTAGTATACCAGAAGAAATTTAAGGTATGTCAAGCGACTATCCACACCGACCACACAGAAAAATGCTTCTGCTTGAGGTCCATCACAAATATGCCTTTAAGTATTTTTAGCATATTGCAGTAGTTTTACTTTAAGGTGGTTTTTATTGTGCGGCATGTGAGGATATGTTTGTTTTAGGGTATAATGAATGTATTTTACTAGGAAAGTTGTCACATTTGTTGCTCAGACAAACTCGTTTGTGCCGTTTATGCATCAGGTTTTTGTCTTAAATGCCCTGAAGCTCTGGGCAGTGCTATATTTCGAAATCATTTGGTCAAAAACATCATGTGAGTTGGTTTGACACTGTCTGCAACATTCTGGAGGAAAGAAAATAAACTACTTGAATTATTTAAACCATTTTTATGTTCAGAGAAGTGAAACAACTGTCTCTTTTATACTGAATGGCTTTTATTTGTGGGTGTGCTTGTTCTATCCAGGATTTAGTTAAAATTATGGATTTACTTTTAAAGACCAAGTTCACTGGGACAGAATTTATTTTTATTAATTCTTTCTTTTAACTTATTTTTTTAAATACAATCGCGCTGAGTTTAACATGAAGGCTAAATGTGAAAATGGTCTGCTTCCCCTACTTCCTGCATTAGTTTCCAGTAGAAAGGAGACAGGGAATCGCTCGGATTAGAAAAGCAGGTGATAATTTCAAGTTAACATTCATGGACTTACCCATCTTGGGTGATGGAGAAGGATTTTCTTGATTTAGCATCCAGGAGAGAGCAAAGCACGTCTTGTCTAGCAGAAGCTAACCGTTAGCATTAACAACTCCACCACGCAGATATTTCATCTGAATATCAGGAAATAAGTAGGGATGGGTACCTTTGACATTTGAATCGATCCGGTACTAATTACCGGTACCTACGAATCGATACCGGTACTTAACGGTACCAATTTTCGATACTTTTGAGTGTTTATTATTTGAATTCTCTTTTATAATTAAATATATATTTTTCTCAATATATAACAATATTTGATAAATATCACGATAAATAACATATAACTGTTTGTATTTTAACATTGCCCTTGTAGTTTTATAAGCTGATAATTAAACTGAAGCAAAGATCTTTACTGTGAACTAAATTTACTGTGTCTTCATTCCTTTTGCCGTTCTTTTTTCATTTGATTTTTCCTACTGGGAAGTTAGAATTTCCGAGGAGAAAGCGAACGCACCATTAGCTGATAACAATGGTAGCAATGGAAGCTAACATATCAAGCTAACGATATCTTAAACAGTTTATTTAGCTGCTGGAGCAGATTAAAACGATGATGCCTCACACTTAGATCGTCACTGGTTTCATCTTCACCCGTCACATTTAGTAAAGTGAAGCCAAACTTTAGAGCGCGTTCATGTTTTTCTAGTCGGAAATTCGGAGTTCCGAGGAGAAAGCGAACGCACCATTAGCGAAACGGAAGCTAACATATCAAGCTAATTATATTTACCTACCGGAGCAGATTAAGATGAGGATGTCTCACTTAGATAGTTGTCGCTGGTTTCATCATCCAGTTACCCATCACATTTAGTGAAGTGGACCCAAGCTTTAGCCTGCGTTCTCTCTACCATGCTGCTCTGTTTACACCTGGTTCACAGCAAGCGACGACAAAACGCTCCTGCGCATGCGCAGCTGTCTTGGCAAGTTCTCGTTAGGATGGACGGGTACCGAAACGAGGCACCGTTTGAAATGACGTGAATCGGTGCTCGGTTGGTACTATGGAATTCGGTCGGTACCTTAAAAAGTACCAAATTCGGTACCCATCCCTAGAAATAAGACTCCAAATCCTGCCGTCGTCTGCTCACCACTGATGTGACTCACTTCTAGTTCCTGAAACAGGAGTGCCAGAGCTGTGTTCCCCACACAGATCGACTCACAAGGCGATCATTTATACTAGAGACCACTGCAAATGTGTTGAAAAAACAAAACAAGCAAACTTGATCTTTAATATTTTTCATGTCTGGATAATTCTAATATCTGGAAAATCACCTGTTGTTTTGTTGTAAATTTTAACACTTAAATACTAAAATATTGAACTGATTTTTTATTACAAGAGGAACAAAGACTATGATTATTTGAACTTTCACATAAAAAACTGTTTTCAATTTGAACATGTAATAAATACTTATGTGTAACTAAAGACCTGTGTTGTCCCCTCAGGACAACCCGACAGTCGTGGTAGAAGACCTGAGACTATGTACAGTCAAACACTGTGAGGACATCGAGAGACGCTTCTGTTTTGAAGTGGTTTCACCCACAAAGTAAGTTTGAGCCACTTAAATGTCTCACAGTCTAATAAACTCTAGAAAGCAAAGTGGACGCACGCACACACATCTTAGCTGACAGCTGCCGTGTAACCTTCATGACCTCCCTGAAGGAGCTGCATGATGCAGGCAGACTCGGAGAAGCTGCGCCAGGCTTGGATAAAAGCCGTCCAGAACAGCATTGCCACTGCCTTTCGCGACAAGGGAGACAATGGAGAGGTAGAATCCAAAGCTGCTCACATCCGAGTCGATGAATCTTTTATAAGATGAAGAGTTTAACTTTCAAATGTTGTTCCCTCACATCAGAAGCTGGACAGAAAGTCGTCCACGTCAACGGGGAGCCTGGACTCTGGAGGAGAGCCAAAGGAGAGGTCCCTGAAAGGGGAGAGCGCCCTGCAGAAAGTCCTGACCATCCCCGGTAACGCCTGCTGCTGTGACTGCGGCCAGCCGGATCCCCGCTGGGCGAGCATCAATCTGGGCATCACCCTCTGTATACAATGCTCTGGCATCCACAGGTGCAGCAACAAGCTAATCCAGATCCTAAACTCATATAAAAGTCATAAACTGTGTGAACACAAAATATTTAGGAGCAGTGTGGTTCATGTGGAGTTCAGGATACCTCTGTGAAACAGCTTTTGTTAGTTTTGGAGAGTCTTTTTCATCACAGTGGGGGTGTTAAAGGCCTCCATTAAGTGTTGGTCTCTGGGGGGTTACGAAATGAAAACTCATCGCTATGTAAACTCCCATCTGTGTGGAGATGCTGGGACATTCCTGATTACTTTTCAGGGTAAAGTTAATTAAAGTTTAATCCAGTTAAAAGTAACCGGGTCACTTCCCACGCTCTCCATACAAGGTCATTATCAACTGACTGGGCTTGTAGCTCGAGTCTATGAATCAGTGGAGATTCAGACAAGACATTTGGCTTTAGGAAGTTTAAAAAATGTAATGTTTTAAAAAAAATTAAAAGTTACAAAGTTATTTGTTGGAAAACATCAGGCATAAAATATCAAAGTTTCTGTCCTTTCACCAAATACTCAGATAATATTTACCATGAGAATACAGCTCAGATATGTGCACATAAATAAAATATGTATTTAACCTAATGAAAAAGAAAGTAACGAGATTTGTTGTCATTGTGCTTCTATGCTCATTTTTGTGTCTACAGGAGTCTGGGAGTTCATTTCTCTAAAGTTCGATCTTTGACTCTTGACACGTGGGAGCCAGAACTCCTCAAGGTACCTTGTTTTATTTGTTTATAACCCTTAAAACAATTTTATTAATATAGATCTTCTCTTCAGAGTCTTCATGAGATGTTTTCTGTTCAGTTATCAGTTTTCAAACTAAGCATTGACGGGTCTTGTTTCTATTTGGCAAATTTTGCAGTTGATGTGTGAACTGGGAAACAAAGTGATCAACCAGATTTATGAGGCTCGACGAGAAGAGCTGGGAGCCCGCAAACCACAGCCAGGAGACCCCCGGTATGCAACGTTTGGGAGCTTGATCTGACGTTCCTGCTGAAATACAAATGTGTTTGTCGCTGTGCAGCTGATGAACCATAGATGAAACTCTGATTCTGTCTCTGGTTTCCTGACAGACACGAGGTGGAGGCCTACATCAAAGCCAAATATGTGGATCGACGTTTTGTCCGCCGGCCCTCGGATGAGGAGCTTCGTAACAAAGTGGTTTCTCTGAGCAAACAGGAGAAGAGGCTGAGCAGCGGATCTGAGCATCTGCCACCTAAAGCTCCTCCTCCTACACCAAAACTCCACCCTGGTTCTGGTGCATCCGGGCAGCCAGGTCAGTAGATAATAAACATAAATATACACGCCTGCCTACCTGCAGCTCTTAGGAGTGAAAACTCTTAAGAGTCCAACAGAATCCTGAAGTTAGTGTCTGTGTGGGGTAGAGCTGCACAATACATTGCAAATGTATCGTCATCATGATATCAGCATGCACAATACTCTTATCGCTAAGAACAGAAAAAAAAACAATGAATGGTCAGCTCAGATGTTTGCTACACATAATGCATTTTCTCAATCAAACAGAAGCGTGCGTTTTTAACAAATCAAATAGAGCCCAGAGATTGGAAAGTCCATTCTCAGACCTCCCAGCTCTGGTTCCTCCTCAGAATGCGTGTCGGTGGGATTGAGGAGCTCCTCAAAGTATTCCTTTCACCGGCCAGCTATAGCCCCAGTCGACGTCAGCAGCCCCCCATCTCCACTGAAAGTGTGGGCAAGTCGCTGCCTTCCTCTCCTAAGGCACCGGATGGTTTGTCAGAACCTTTTTGAGCCGATCGATGGTCTTTTTCCATGTCCTCACCAAACTCCTCCCATGCCTCAGATTTTGCCTTGGTAACTGCCACTGCTTCCGGAGACCCTCAGGCCAACCATGCCCTAGGCCTCTTTCTTCAACCTGACAGCTCTCCTAATCTCCGATGTCCACCTGTGGGTATAGGGATTGCCACCACTCTGACCTCCAGCTCTTGCTGGGTGGGTTCGCGACCAAGCGTGAAGTGGCTGGGATGAAAATCAGCACCTCGAATTCCGGGTCGGGAGAGAGGTCCTGCCTCACGTGGAGGAGTTAAAATATCTTGGGGTCTTCTTCACAAGGGAGGGAAGAAGGAGATCGACAGGCGGATTGGGGCAGCGTCTGCAGTGATGCGGACATTGAACCGGTCTGTCACGATGAAGGAGGAGCTGAGCCAGAAGGCTCGATTTACTGATCGATCTACGTCCCAACCCTTACCGATGGTCATGAGCTTTGGGTAATGACCAAAAGAACAAGATCGGGGATACAAGTGACCAAAATTAGTTTCCTCTGGAGGGTGGCTGGGCTCCTCTGCATCGAAAGGAACCAGCTGAGGTGGTTCGGGCATCTAGTCAGGATGCTGCCTGGACGCCTTTCTGGGGTGGTGTTTCAAGCATGTCCTGCTGGCAGGAGGCCTCCAGGTTGACGCAGGACATGTTGGAGCTAGTACATCGCCAATCTGGCCCAAGAACGCCTTGGGGTCCTGCTGGAGGAGCTAGTGGAGGTGGCTGGGGACAGTCTAAAATGCCCTACTTGAGATGTGACCCAGACTGGATAAGCAAAGAAAAATGAACTAACAAACAAAAAGAGTCCTTCACTTATTTGGCCAATCAAGTGGGGTCTTATAGGGTAGACGCCCGCCCTTTTTAGCCTGAACTCTTCTATTCAAATAACCCCAACCCGTCAGATTTCAAACCAAGCCAATTGGCACTGAGCAGCGTACGCCACACACCGCAATGTTCAGTTTCTCATAAACAATGAAGATGGCGCCTGAATGTGGAGTTCGCTGCAGCTCTTTCCTCTCTACAGTTGGCATTTCTGCCTTTTTTCTGATTGGTTATTTTTGACTTGGCTAGTTCCGCTCCTCATGTGCCTCTGCCTGTGAGTAACCAGACTAGTTCTCTGTGTAGACTGAGGATGAGTCCGGCAGACCAGGCTACGCCCTTTTGGCAGACGGCACTTAATATGGATGGCTAGCAAATACCTGAGTTAGCTTAGGGAGAGTCGCAATGACTCAAGGTAAGGCGTATGCAGTGTTTAAAACGGCATGTCTCTTATTTCAAGATATTATGATTACAAGAGAGACAATGTTCAAGAAACACAAATACTTTGCAAGATATGCCGAACACTTGTGGCAACCAAGAGGGGAAACAAATCTCTGATGTCAACTTGAACACAACCATTAAGCTCTACATACAGGGCTCCAGAAAGCTAGCATTAGCAAACCCAAAGTCTCTGACGTTAAGACAAGTAAGAGCATGACAGCCCACCAGATGCCCATCTATCACAGTTTTGCAGGTGGAACTCCTTATGGGAAAGCATCAAAGCGGTACAAGGAAAAAGCGGAGGTACTTTCACATTATTTGGCTAAAGCTATGATGCCAGTGAATACAATGAGCTGAACAGCTGGGTCAGGGTGCACAGCGCAGTTAGTAAGTGTAATGTGGCTACGGGAGTAAACAAATCTGTTTAGCTCTGTAAATGGTCTACAGCGTTGTCCTATTTTCTAATAGCTTGCAAGAGTTAATTTTGTTACTGTAATGATACTAATGATAGAAGATGGAGTGGTGTGTCGAAAGTATTATGCACAGAAACTAAAGAAACACTGCAGATTTGTTAATCACAAATCATATCGTCATTGCAATATTAATCACTGTAATCGTGCATCGCTGGTTTTCCTAATATTGTGCAGTCCTAGTATGGGGAAGTTTTAACAAAAAAACTTTATTATTTCCCTTTCATGCCTTTAAACGGTCTAAAATGTTCTCCTGAGCTTGTTATTCCTCCTCGCTACCAGATGAGCTGATTATGAACTAGATGTCCAGGAGAGAGAAGGCTGCATGATGACTGATTGGCTTGTTCTCCATCAGCGTACTGAATGTTTGTGACGTCTGAACCCTCCTTTATTTGCTTTTTGTAGTTTTGTCTCTTCCAGCCTCTCTAGTCTAACCATTGTTCCCTTACCCTGCTTTCTTCTCTCTCCTCTTTGTCGTACGTCCTACATCCCTTCTCTGGCTGTTCTGTGCTTCTGGACTAACCCCTGCTTAAACCGTTACCCTCATTTTATTTACACCCTGCACCCTCTAATTTCCAAACTCCCATCATCCCTGGCGCAGCTGCTGCCAGCAGCGCGGAGGCTCGCCGCGACTCTCTCTTCTGTCCTGATGAGCTTGACTCACTCTTCTCCTACTTTGACGCCTCCTACAAGCTGAGGAGCAGTAAGTACTTAAAGCTGAGTGTTGCTTGCTTTCCCTCCCCTCCTTTTCATTCAGATTGACCACTTTAGTGGCGTAACACCCCTTTATTTACCCCTCTGTTTCTGTCTCATCCTGACCTTCTGAAAAGCCGTGTGTCCAGAACGTAACGCGTTTAGTGTTTGCTGACACGGAGGGCGATGTTTCACTCATGGTTTTGGTCCGTGTGTCGTTATTCTTTTGGGTTTTAGGGACCTGGCTCTTAAGGTGATTGAGTCGATCTGTCATCGAGGTCTCGTTTTATGTTTATGGTGGAAGAAAATATTAGGAGTGTCTTCCCTTACTGTTTGATTGGCTCTAAAACCATAAAAATTCTGGGTTTGATGATGTGCCCTTTATCAACAAATCGATCACAAATACATCAAAGGGAAGGCGTTCCTTTTATTTTAACACTCTCGGTCAGTAACAGCTTCAGGTTCTCCCTCATAATGACTCAGACTGTTGGTTTAACAGTGAAAAGTGCAGACAGCGGCATTCAGAACAGTGCTGATGGGAGCAGAGAGATGCTCGTCACCACAGCGCCCACTAACAGCCTGGCAGAAGCAGGTCTGTGGTTCTGTTTTTTAACCAAACGCTGTTTGTGTTTAGGAATGATCAAACATTTACTCGTGTGGATGCACTCACATCTGTTTTCCTCTGTTTTAGAAGCTGCCGAGTCTCCGCCCATGCCCGCCCCCCTCCCCCCTCCATCACCCTGCAAAGAGGTGCTTTTCTACGAGCCCAAAGAGTACAGCCCAGGTCTGCAGCTCTACTGGGCATCATGCGCCCGCAGCCTGCCAGACATGGCCGAGGCACTGGCCCACGGAGCCGAGATCAACTGGGTCAGCACGGAGGAGGACAAGAAAACACCGCTCATCATGGCTGTGCACGGGGTTAGTGAGACCACAGGAAATGAGTTTTGGGTGGATGTTATTGATTTGGTCTATTTATTTGGTTCGTTTTAGTCTTCTAAGAGCGCATCAGTAACTCGAGTGTGTTTCATTTGAATCAAGCGGCTCTTCTGACACCCGAAACTGCTGATTTCAGGGCTCTCTGGTCACCTGTGAGTTCCTGCTCCAAAATGCAGCGAACGTGAACCAGCAAGATGCTCAGGGCCGAGGTCCGCTGCACCACGCCACCATGCTGGGGCATACTGGGTTTGTTTACACACACACTCCAACCGCTAACATCCAGGATTACACAAATAATTAGACTCTTATTGCTTTACAGGCAAGTCTGCTTATTCTTGAAAAGGGGAGCAAACCAGAACGCTGCCGACATCGATGAGAAGACGCCCTTGAGCATCGCTGTGGAGGCAGCAAATGCAGACATCGTCACACTGTGAGCTTTGGTTACTGAGATGTTATCTTCAGATACTGATGTTTATTTACTCCTATCTATAATAAAATAAAGTATTTTTTCATATTGAAGCCTTGTAATCAGCCCTTATTTAGAGGTGATAAAATCCTGTTTGTTTATTTTAAAAACAGGCCAGTCTCTGGTCCTTTTCTGCCTGAACCATCTCGCTTCTTCCTTCACTCCTCAGGTTACGATTGGCCAAGATGAACGAGGAGATGCGGGAGGCGGAGGGACCCTACAACCCATCAGGTCATTATAACTCCGACAGCCCTACGGAGATGCAGTACAGGAAGTGCATGCAGGAGTTCATTAGCCTGCAGCTGGAAGAATCCGATTAGATGCTGCAGAGTCTGCCTGAGTTCACTTAGATTACATCAAACCACACATAAAAAGGCAGTTTTTTTCTCTTAATGAGACCTTCTGTTGACTGTATTGACTGACAGTGAAGTCTGCAGGTGTTTCTGCTCAGTCCTGTAAGGCGCTGCGCAGCATTAATGTGGCAGGATAAAAGCCATCCAATCTGATCTACTGTTAGATCTCTTCCTTTAGCACAAAACTGAAAGAGTAACTAGATTTATTTTTCAAGTGTAAAGTTTACAACTGTATGTACTTGTTTCTTTTAGAGGGTTAATTTCTATCAGCTGTCAGGGAATTGTTTTAACACTAATAGTATCTAGACTAAAACCGCTCCCAGTATTCAGACCTGTTTCATCAAAGCTTCTGGCAATAATCAAGACTTCTGAATGACAAGATGCGTGGTGTGTCTATAAATCATTTAGTTTTAGATCAATTGGTTTTTTTAATGCACCAAGGAAAATATGCACATTCCTGATGGTGGTTATGCAACAACTTCTTTCTTCTAACTGAACACTTCTCGTTTTCAGTCTTAATTTCCTTCAGGGCTTGTTTACTTGTTTTATTGATCAAACTTCTATTCTGTTTTTACTTGCTTGGTCAGAATATATATTTTAGAGCTGTTTTCTAAAAATAACTATGAGCTGTATTATAGATTTCCTATTGTACCTGCTGTAAATGATGTTTAATATATTTGCTTCTAGTCTGACGGACAGAATGAGCAGACTGGCTTCACAGGGATCGGCAGCGTGAGGGTTTCAGTCTTACCTGAAAGTGTTTACTTGTGTCGGTTTAGTGTGCTCGCTTGTTTGTAATCACATGAAATCCTAAATTGTAAGATGGAAAAACCTGTTGGTGCAATAGTTGTGATCGACTGGAATGTTACTGGATTTCAAATCGTAAGTGCAATAGTGTAGAAACGGTTTTAAGAGTGCTGAGCTTTTTTATCTTCTACTTATGTGAACCATGTGGGAGCTTTACAGAAGAGTGAGTACATTTAGATTTTCAGAGTGAATGTGGAATCATGCTGCTGACTGAAATGTTTTCCAGTTGCATCTCAAGTTTGAAGCACTTTTATGTCTTAGAAAAGGGACAGCTCCCCCTGCTGGACAACATATATATATAGAGAGAGAGAGAGATGTCTGCACTTACACGTGCCAACCACTAGAGGGCTCACATCTGATGTTTAGGAATCCTGAGTGGAATAGCCTTCGTGGTCAGGTTTGAAATACTTGGACTAGAATCACAAACGATTGTTCATAATGTTTGTTTTTTGTTTTTATTAACAGCATTAGGGTGTTTGTTTTAAACGTGCAGATCTGTGTTTTTATGTTTAGAGAGTGGAATTGCTCAGCTGTGAATGGCAGGACTGATGAGGGATGTAACGAATGTAAAGGAGAACTAAACTCGTCCATCTTTACTCCTTTTTAAAAATAAAAGTCCAAAATTCCTTAGATAACGTTGTTTCAGTAAAAAAAAAAAGTGCAGCTCTGTGGTTTTCAGCTTGTTTCTGTATCCTGTGACCTGCTTTGATCTTTTGAAATGATTTCAGACCGAGACCCACTAAAGCTGAAACTTATCTCTGGTTTGTTTCCTCGCACTCCTCCCCAAAGTTTGTGCCTTTTTTTCTGTTCTGCTCTTTATTTCTTTGGGGTGTTGAGGCCAACACAACTGTATCTTTGTACATAAACTCCTGCACTTTAAACTCAATACAGTTGTTGATGAAAATCAAACGTCTGAGGGCTCTTCTTCCTGTTTCTGACTGTTCGCTGGCTTTTCTTCCACTTTCACTAGTTTCGTTCTTATTTTTACTACTCTGCATTTTTCTCTCTTATGCTTTGAGCCACTCCGACGCTCTTAACAGGTAACTCTTTTTATTTTTGTTTATTCCTGATAACACTTTCTCTGCATGAGCCTCCCAACTGGGACTCCTGGGGGGTTTAAGCCAGGGATACTCAATTCCAGGCCTGGGGGGCCGGTATCCAGCATGTTTTAGTGGTTTCTCTGCTCCAACACACGATTAGTTGTTGAATCACCTGTGTAGCAGCTCAACAGGCTCTTGCAGAATTAATTACCTGCTGATTGAAATCAGGTGTGTGGAAACAGGGTTAAAACTAAAACGCGCTGGATGCTGGCCCTCCAGGACCAGGATTGAATACCCCTGTTTTAAGCTAACTCACCGCAGAAGTTTGTCATGTGATGTAAAAAAAGATGCAGTTATTCAGAAGAAGAAGAAATGAGATTATTTGGTGATTTTGGCAGTTGCTCATATGTGTGTTTCTTATTTCCAGGTGATGAAACCTACCAGGACATCTTCCAGGATTTCACCCACATGGCCTCGAACGACCCTGATAAACTCAACCGCTACCAGCAGTATGACGCGCAGAGACCCTGACCAGCGGCGCTCTGGTGAACATCTGGAGCGTCGTCCACCCCTGATGTGACCAAAGCTTCTCCTCATCAAGTCGTCCGAAAGGTTTAGTAGAAAACTAAAAGCACTTGGCCGAAGAGGACGACGCCCGTAGGAACGGTACAGCCGTTGAAAAGGATTCTTGTAAAGTTTTCAATCCTAAATGACAGAATGTAAAACGCTCGTCAGACGTTTCCTGCTTTAAACGTATGAAATGTGTCGGATCTGTAAAGGAAAAGCGCTCGATCAGACTCCTAAAACGACCGTTTCCTCTGTGGGATTTGTTTTAGTTTGTTAGAAAAATGCCCTCTGCAGGCCTGTACATACTTTTACTCTGGAAACAAACCTGTTATGATTCATTTGTAATTTTAGAATTTTTTATGCTTCTTTTTATACGTTTTTCTGAGAAATAATTAATTTTAAATGTTAGCATCAGCAATTTGTGTTGAAAGATTTTGGGATAATTCAGTAAGCTGTGAGTCCATCATTTCTAAATTATATTCAGCTGATTGATCCTGAGGTTGAAGCATCGTCGGTTTGTCACTAACAGCAAAAAGGATGGCATGAGACGGATAGATTATTACATCCTAGAGGGCGGGCGGGCGAGAGAAAGATAGATGGATAGAGAGATAGATAGATAGATCCATCATTTCCTGTGTAGGAGGGTTTTATTGTAGCAGCAGCCTGATGCTTGTTGCTCTGCTCCTTACTCCAGTTTTACATGAATTCATAAACCATAAAGACACCTTTCCCTGGTAAACTGGATGATTTCAGCAACAGGATGATGTAAACAAACAAACATTAGATGGCCGTGCTGAAAGACCTCAAACATTTACTGAAATGATGATCTGGATGAGCAGCAAGCAAGTTCCTCACATGCAGTCAGCTTCAGTGGTGAAACTTCATCTCTAATAAGAAATATTAACACCTAGATCGGCTCTTGTGCAATAAAATGTGACTTTTCTGTTAAAACTTCATTTTTAGCACAAATTTAAAGACAAGTGGTTCGGCTAACACCATGTGGGATACAATTCTTGTACGTTCTGTACTGATGCTTTCAAACTCTGGATCCGACTGAAGGATGAAGTTAGTGGTACTTGAATCATTCAATAAGCTTTTGTAAATGCTGTTCTTTGTATCTTTTGATAATTATAGCCTGTTTTATATGTATACCACTATACATGTACTGTATAATGCACCTGTAATGTTTAAGGACTTAAATACAGAGGGACGACACTCTTCTGATTGTTGACTCTGGTTTTATTTAATAGATCTCGTTTTCAGAGGACTATTACAGTTCTAGTCGAACAAGTAACTTCTGCTCCTCGATGGATGAATTAAAGATGAAGATGTTAATTTTCTTTGTAACAGAAATCGTTTCTAAGTCAGAGCTGTAATTCATCCTGACACTTTTCCAGAGTTACTCTTGTATCTTGTGTGTGTGTGTGTTTTATAGAGGCTGTGATTATGTCATAATGAAAACCCTGTTGCATTATGACATTGAGTTTTTCCTACAACACTTTTTCTAGTATTTCTTCTACCATTAATGTTTCTTTTCAGTCTATTTTACTTCTGGCTTTTTGTTTCCTGAAGAAAGATGACAGTCAAGTATGAAACTAAAACTTCTTAAATGTTCCTTTTTTGCTTTTCAGACTATGGATAATTGTTGGGGGGGGGGTTGTCTTTTCTTCATAGAAAGTTTATTTATTTATTTTTGTCTCAAAAACCAAGTTTCTGTTAGAATTTTTAAATTATTTAGTTCTGGTGAAGTTAAAGGTACAATAAGTAAGAATTATACAGTAAAATAATCCCAAAACTAATGTCTCAGTCATGTTGGAAGGAGGGTTACACTGAAACAGATTCATTCTCAGCTGTCTGTGGTGGGGTGTCAGTTTTCTCCTTTTGAAAAAGCTACAGTGCGTCCCAGGGGAGCTGTGGCTACACTGTAGCTCATCACCATCAGCCTGTGAATGGATGGATGTTTAACTTTAGTGCAAGGGTGCCCAATCCTGGTCCTGGAGGGCCAGTATCCAGCATGATTGTTGTTTCTCTGCCCCAACACGCTTGATTCAGTGGTTGAATCACCTGTGCAACAGCTCATCAGGCTCTGCAGAAGCCTGTTAATCACCTGCTGATTGAAGACAGGTGTGTTGAAACAGGGTAAAAACAAAGATATGCTGGATACTGGCCCTCCAGCCTCCAGGACCAGGATTGGGCACCCTTGCTTTAGTGTAAAACGCTTTGGAGTCCTCTGACTCTGAAAGGTGCTGTACAGGTGTAGGCCATTTATTATTTAGGTGTAAAACAAAAAAAAAAAGGCTGGAGAGGGATGTAGTCTTTGATTACAATTAGTGAGCCTGTGGGGTTTCTGAGTCAGTGCTAGCATTTGTAATTTGATATCGACCGCCTAAAAAGCATCAATGTGGAAATAATGTTAGCCATTAAAAGGAGCGACCCAGAAGTTATTTCTTGTACCCCTAATGGCGCTTACACATTAGTGTCGAAATTTGGTTTCACACACAGGTCAGATTTGTGTTTTCAGTTCGTACTATCACCTCCATGGGTGACCCTCTGCTGTCAGTCGCACTTGTCGCTGGTCCAGCCGCGGGGGTGGGACACTCAAGCCCGTCTCCCATGGACGTAATTTTGTGGGGGGACATGTCCCCCCCCCACTTTTTCCAAAGTCAAGCTTTGACCCCTGCACTTTTTACCATCCAAAAACAATATTACGCTATATTAAATTGACACTGGTTGAGCTCTAGGACCAAGCAGAAAACAACCATTTGTGTTGAAGCCTGTTTCCCATTAGAACATACTGTAAAGATCCCCCCCCCCCGTGTCCCCCCCCACTTCTAAAGGGAAAATTACGTCCATGCCGTCTCCACATGGGTCCTCCAACTCTGTTGATACCTAATCAGCAATCTCAGGACACACCCATCTCAGCGGGTGACTGTCATTTACCAGAAATGTCCTAAAAGGTCCACGGTGGATCAGACATAAAACACTTCAAAATCATGCAATAAACATCAAGCTCACGAGCTAAAATCATGCAAATAAAACAAAACTACCCAAATCGTTACACAGAATATACAATTTTGCCACAATGTGACGTGTGTGACATTTAACTGTAGAAAAAATTCCATTCCATTTCATTAGTTTTTGACTTTCCAGTAGTATAATTACAGTTGTGGTCAGAAGTTTACATACACTTGTAAAAAATATAATATAATGGCTCTACTGAGTGTCCCGTTATTTCTAAAACTCTGATTTTTCTCTGATAGAGTGATTGGAACAGATACTTCTTTGTCACAAAAAACATTCACGAAGTTTGGTTCTTTAATGTCTTTATTATGGGTTAACAGAGAAAAGTGATCACATTTGCTGGGTCACAGCAACATGATCTAGCAATTTTGGTGACAGAAACGTGTCAGTGAACTGAGCTTCATAGCATGGCCTCTTAACTTCTTGTGAGTGATTGAGTGACTACAGCTGGTGACTTCTCTTAGGCCAGGTAAATAGGGCTCATTGGATACAAACGCCCACAAACGCTACAATGGGAAAGTCAAAGGAGCTCAGCATGTATCTGAAAAAGCGAATTATTGACTTGAACAAGTCAGGAAAGTCACTTGGGGCTATTTCAAAACAGCTGCAGGTCCCAAGAGCAACAGTGCAAACAATTGTTTGTAAGTATAAGGTGCATGGCACTATTTCATCACTGCCAAGATCAGGAAGAAAACGCAAGCTATCACCTGCTGCTGAGAAAATTGGTCAGGAGGGTAAAGAGTGAACCAAGAATCACCAAAAAGCAGATCTGCCAAGAATTAGAAGCTGCTGGAACACAGGTGTCATTGTCCACAGTCAAACGTGTTTTGCATCTCCATGGACTGAGAGGCTGCCGTGCAAGAAGGAAGCCCTTGCTCCAAAAGCGGCACCTTAAGGCTCGACTGAAGTTTGCTGCTGATCACATGGACAAAGATAAGACCTTCTGAGGAAAGTTCTGTGGTCAGACGAAACGAAAATCGAGCTTTTTGGCCACAATGCCCAGCAATATGTTTGGAGGAGAAAAAGTGAGGCCTTTAACCCCAAGAACACCATGCCTACAGTCAAGCATGGTGGTGGGGATATTATGCTGTGGGGCTGTTTTGCTGCCAATGGAACTGGTGCTTTACAGAGAGTAAATGGGATAATGAAGAAGGAGGATTACCTTCACATTCTTCAACATAACCTAAAATCATCAGCACGAAGGTTGGGTCTTGGACGCAGTTGGGTGTTCCAACAGGACAGTGACCCCAAACACACATCAAAAGTGGTAAAGGAATGGCTAAATCAGGCTAGAATAAGGGTTTTAGAATGTCCTTTCCAAAGTCCTGACTTAAACCCCATTGAAAACATGTGGACAGTGCTGAAGAAACAAGTCCATGTCAGAAAGCCATCAAATTTAACTGAACTTCAATTCTGTCAAGAGGAGTGGTCAAAGATTCAACCAGAAGCTTGCCAGAAGCTTGTGGATGGCTACCAAAAGCGCCTAATTGAAGTGAAAATGGCTAAGGGACATGTAACCAAATATTAGCACTGCTGTATGTATATTTGTGACCCAGCAAATGTGGTCACTTTTCTCTGTTAACCCATAATAAAGACATTAAAGAACCAAACTTCGTGAATGTTTTTTGTGACAAAGAAGTATCTGTTCCAATCACTCTATCAGAGAAAAATCAGAGTTTTAGAAATAACGGGACACTCAGTAGAGCCATTATATTTTTTACAAGTGTATGTAAACTTCTGACCACAACTGTATGTCCAGCAGAGGGAGCGCTGCTTTCTCCATAAACCTCTTGGCTCACCTGTGTGTAGCTTTCTGGTGTGTATTTTCTCTACAGCGATGGCCTCTGATTTGTCTGTTTTGAACTGTCGCTGCAGTTGAACAACCCTTCCACAGCTGCATCAATAATCTCCAGATTAAAGACTACTACTCACCTCTGTCTCTCCTGAACTAGCAACATCGATTAGGTCATGAATCCATTAATCATCCCAGCTTAATAATTGTATTGTGTTTATTTATGCAGCTGTTTTAAGAGGCTAGCAGCACCCACCACTTCAGATGAGTTACAGGCATTGGTGTGTGTACGGAAAGCCAAACGCATGCGTTTAGTCTGCCACTAGCTAATGTTCCTGAAAACATGTCATAATTCACCTTGGCAGGGACCGGATACACTCCTGTTAAACACAGATCATTAGTTGTTGCCCCTGCTTGTTAAAAACCTCCAGAGATGCAACAAAGCTACAGACCATCTGACATTTTCTTCATTCTCACAGATTAGAGATTTTCTTTTTGTTCAGCTTCAGATGGGAACCTTCATTCATCTCACACCTGGAAGTCATCCTGGAACTCTGGGATTGGAGACGTTGCATGTTTCGGGACCGTTGCGAGCTTAAAGAGATGATCTGATTTTGATAGAAGTGCATGACTAAAAAGCTTTGAAGATCCTTTTTTTTTTTTTTGCTCTTGAATGTTTTTCATGTCTGCATCTCATTTTCTCTTCTCTTTTTACAGAGAAAGCTCCATGGTTACTAGTTAAAGGTCCCATATTTATTTTATTTGTTAGCTGCAGGATTAAAATGTGCTGAAAGATGCAGATGAGTGCATTTTACCTTCTACCTTTTCCACATCCCAAAAATGCTGAAAGCTCAGGGAGATTCTTCCCTCATACCTGCAGGTTGACATGTGATTTGACTTAAAATGTGTGGCACATCTGGCCCCTAGCACCGTGCCCACACCACACTCTGCTCCGAATCATCCTCCGAGCCCGTTCCAGAAAGTCTGCGGTCTGAGCGCCTGTGGAGAAACGGAGGGCCGCCGCTGGAGATGTTTCCCTCCATAAAAGCAGCACATGAACAAACGCTGAGAGGGGCCAAGCCCCATTAAGCCTGCTGCGCCTGCCAGGGCCCAGATCTGCAGAGTGCATCCATGATAACAAGTCACCACGTCCAGCGATGGCTGGGGGCTGATTTTCCTCAAACAGAAAGGGCTCATTGCAGGTGTTGTGGGATGAGATCATCTCTCTTACTTAGAACGCAGAAACCAGGAATTTATTGGGTTAAGTAAGAAAGTCAATGAGCTCAATGTGCTGACGTGTTATTGTACGTTTTGAACATTTTGGCCATCACTTATTTTTATTTCAGGGCTCCTGTCTAGAAGTTTCTTTATTCTGTTCTCACTGATTAATGGAGAGGCTTGAAGAACGTAT